CCTAAACCCTAAACCCTGCATCCGAGGGCCCTAAACACCTCCGGTCTTTTCAGGATCTCCGAAGTACCCTTTATTGCCGCTCTTGTGGTCCGTACTAGTTAGTTTAGTGGGTATTTAGGGTATCATAGAGGGTAGTTAGGGGGTAGTTCCTTATGGGGGTCCATATTTAGAATCCTATACGGCAATCCCCAAAAGGAGCTACTATGGAGTTTCTGGGTAGGTTGCTTGTTGGTCTTTGTGTTCGATTGGAGGCTCCGAGCTTTTTGGCCACGATCCAGTTTCGCCGGAGCAGGTGCGCTTTGAAGGTTTGGGTGTCCGGGGTTCCTTTAAGGCTTCCTTTCAGGGTTCCTTTAATTTAAGGCTTCCTTTCAGGGTTCCTTGTAGGCTTTGGGATTCCTCTTCGAGTTCCTCTTGAAATTCCTCTTGAGGCTTTTGGGACTCCTTTCAGGGCTCCTGGTAGGCCCGGCCCGGGGTTTCCACAAATGGACCAGGCAGGGTTTGAGGTGTAAGGTTTGCCTAATTTGACAGGCCATGAACTAACAAGCTTCGTCGTAAACCTCGAATCCTAGTCTAGACCCGAGACCCCTGACTTACCTTTGGCTAGTAGGGAATGGAGGGGTGGGGTACAAGTGTAACTGCTATTACTACCATTCTTCCATTCCCTACTAACCAAAGGTAAGCTGATAAATGCGCCAATCTCCCCGGATAAAGATGATCAAGGGATTGCATTACAGCTCAGAACCCAACAGATCTAATCAAGTCTCGAAGCTTGTCGAAGACCCGAGCTTGAGGCAGGTTGGCTGCGGTGCCACTACACTCATGCCGTAGGGGTACTTAGAGATATTTTTAATTTTTGGTTATTATAATCCCTAAGAAACAGCTAAAATTTATAATTTTTGCTAGGGTTCTAAGTTCAGTATAGGAATGCTCGGTTCCCCGCTTCTATCCCGACCAGGTATGCCAGTGCCTGTCCGGCATGCTGGAGCGCAGGGAATTGCCGGCACCTCAAGCAGGGGTACTTGAGGCTCTGGGGAGTAACGCGCTACCCACGTGTGCTCCTCCTGAGCATTCTTGCCGGAAGTGGGCTTGAACCGAAGCTAAAGAAGCTATAGAAGCTAAGGTGGCAGGGTCAAGGGTTCATGCAGGAGGACCGGTTCCCAGAAACCCGTGGTTCAAGTTCCGAGACTCTAATCTCTGCGATGCACCCTATGCTCGCTATGCAGGTTATTATGGCCCCAACGACATCCTCACCCGTTTCAAGATTCCTCAAAGGAACCCCAATGTAGAAGCCTAAATAATTGCCCGTTTTCGTCTTATGGTTCCCTATTATAACTATAGTATTAAGGAGCCCAAAACCCTATTCTAAAAATACAGGGGCCTTAAGGATTAGAATAGGTTTGGGGGCCCATTACTGTATGCCATAATTCTAGTAAGGAAACCCCCACAATGGCATTGGTAGTTATTTAGGCCCCTATATTAGGTTGCAGAGGTTGAAGCCACACAGGCGCTACGATCCACCCGGCGCCCGAACCTCTAGCCCACAAACCCTAAACCCTAAACCCTAATCCAGTGGCCTCAAAACATCAAAGGGTTCTGGGGTATGTTCATACCAACTGTAGCAAGGAACCCTGAGAAACAGCATTCATAGTTTCTTCGCCTTCTACATTCGCCACAAGTTCGTCATCCCATCTAGCGACGCTCCTAACTGCCTTCTGTGGTTTCGAGCAGTAGGGTTTGATGAAACTTGGGCCCGGATCCCTGCAGACTATGCCCAAAATCTTGAATCCTAAACCCAGAACATAGACTGTGGGCTTTACGGGTTTAGGCTTGCGGGCTACATGCCTTTGGGGGCTGTCTTCTTCTGGGGTTTTGGGGTTCAGGACTTTAGGACTCAAGAGTTAGAATTATTGGTTTGGGGTATCCACTCCTAAAAACCCTAAACCCTAAACCCTACAAACCCTGCAAACCCTAAACACTAAACGCCTGAGGACTACAATGTTGATGGATGCCATGGCCAGTGCCATGGAGGCGCACCTCGCTCCGTTGGTCTTGTGATTTCGAGGCTTTTCCTTACCTTTGGTTAGTAGGGAAGTAGGGGCCTTAAGAATTAGAATAGGGTTCCTTTACAGGGGTCTATAAGGGCTACTATAGCTACCATAAGGATTAGTTTTGGTTGGTAGGGAGTGGAAGAATGGTAGTAATAGTAGTTACACTTGTACCCCATTCCTCCATTCCCTACTAACCAAAGGTAAGTTCACAGCAGGAGAGTGTAGAGGCGTAAATTGCGCGGCTTTGGGGCTTAAGGGTTTAGGGTTTAAGATAAATGCAACCTTCCAAACCAGTATGGCAAGCGATATGCACCAGCCCAGACACGCAAGCGCAACATCAAGCTGTAAACATTGAGTCAGTATACTTGTTACAGGTATCCAGGTTCGCTGTGGGCTTTCCAGGCAAAACAGGAAGGTCATCGTGGGACATCACCACACATGCATCATGTATTTCCATTGCCTACATTCTCGCGCATTGATGCGCGGATTGCATTTATCTACGCAGAAGTTCATGGAAAGACGCAGACAAACAAGCAAACACGTACACAAGCATGAGTAATTAGGTAGCTAGACAAGTGGCTTAAACAAATAGTCGATTCGATCGTATGCAGAGCACAGTCATACAAACACATGCATGCATAGGGCAGCACGTATACTGATGGGCGTACATTCACACACGCTTGCATACCTGCCAAGCATGTATCTGGATTGCACTGCTTTTGTTGGACGTTTCGAAAAAAAACGTTTGGACATGTGTTTCTATTGATGCTCCTCGTGCTATTCGTATGCCGTAGGCAGGAAGGCTTGCCGCAACTGCCCCTGTAGCCAAAAAGACCTGCCATTTTGAGGAACTAATATATGTATATATATATATATATATATATATATATATATTCATACAGCCTCAGCCATCCATCTTGCTTCCTCGCCTGCTGCCTCGCATACCTACACCCTTGAGGAAGCCGTAAACAATCAGAGCCCTCCTTGTACCCTCAAGTAGGGGTATATGGTCCCAAAGAACGGGCGTTTAGGGTTTGATAGAGGGTAGATGGAGGGTCTAGGAAACGATAACCATCTAAAATTCACACAAACCTTCTACATAGCGTCTGCGATTCCACAAAATCTCACCGGCATTCCGGGCTGGCAGGTGTTGGAAGCTCTAAACCCAACACTTTAGGCTTGTATGGGTTTTGGGTTTAGGGCTCAGGGTCCTTATATCAAGAATTCTTTTATTCATGATGACCCTAATCCCTAGACCCTAACTCATTTTCTGAAGCTCCCGAAGCCCGAAGCAAAGAAGACCCGGAACCGAGCAGCGACACGAAGCAGGATGCAGATCAGCTCTCTGCAATCTTCGGGCCGATCCTCAACCAGGCTTGTGTTGCACGTGTGCCATAAGGGGCGCAAGTAATTACCTGTACTATTTGGGGTTCCTATTATGATTATAGTATAATGGGCCCCAAAACCCTATTCTAATATTTCAAGCCCATATATTAGGTTCCGAAAACCGTTTAAACTAAACCCACGACAAAGCCACTATCACCCGAACAGAACCCGTTAACACCCATGTGAAGCTCTTATCGTTTAGGGCTTGGGCATCTTGATGTATCTCAGCTTAACCGTTATCTCTTCAACCGCGAACCTGCAAACTCGCAAACCCCGAGCCCAAAGCCAAAAGCCACAAACCCCCCAAACCGCAGAGAAAAGCACGCCCTGCAACCCATAGAGGCCCTCACCATTTCATAACTAAACCCCATGCCCTAAACCAGAAATCCTAAACCCTAAACCCTGCAGGTGTGCCAGAGGCTAAAGGGCCGTAATCTGGTGGACCAAAAGCTCGAGGATACCCCCGCAGCCGACGGTTCAGGGTTTAGGATTTTGGGGCTTAGAACGGTTTAAGGTTCAGGGTTAGGGGTTTAGGGCTTTAGGGCTTTAGCGGTTTTGGGGGTGTAGGGGTTTAGGGGTTTTGGGGGTTTAGGATTTAGGGTGTTGGGGTTCAGGGGCTCAAGAATTTTGGGATTTTTGGGTTTTGGGGTTTAGAGTCTAGGGATTTGAAACCATATGTCATTGTTTCCATAGGCAGTGACTCTATGGGGTTTCTATACAAGCTTCGGGTGCCGGATTTTGCTTCAATTAAGCGCTAAACTCGAGTTTGGGTTTGGGATGGTTTGAAGCGATGGGAGCTCTGAGCAGACTCAGAGTTAAGGGTGTCGGTTGAGGGCCTGGGGCTGTAGGGGTTAGGGTTTAGGGTTTAGGGTGTCGGATCAAGTATCCGGGATTGCAGATGTATGTATCTGTGCTGGTGCTTTTTTGTTGAATGCTCACGTTCCCCTTAAACTCCTGACGCATCAGTCGGCTGGCGAAGTGTTGTGTAGGATTCGGGGTTTGAGGTGTATGTCTCGAGGTTCAGTGCTAGACCCGTATAGAGCTCTTGTAAAGCGCAAAACTCCTAAAGAACCCGGATGAAACCTGGCACCCTAAACCCTTGAACCCCTAAACCCCGAACCCTAAACCCCTAAATCCTTAAACCCTAAACCCCAAATGAAGCTCTATCGGTCGTTTGCTCGCTCTTCTTCTATGGCTCAGCGCTGGGTTCCTTAGTTTTCCTTCCCCGCCCTGAAGCCAAAAACCGTCAAGCACCGGTTTGGGTTTAGGGCTTCTATGGTTTAGTGTTTAGGGTTTAGGGTCGTAAGCCGCAGAAGCTTACACCACCAGAACCCTTACCTTCACCTTCCAGCCACATCACCGAAATATTGTGGTCCGAACAGACAGTGCAGCACCCAAAACCACACAAGTTCAGACACCTCAAACTCCAAACCTTAAACTCCTAAAACCAAACCCTCAATGCGAAAGCCATAGCTCTAAGCCCTCTAAGCCCTAAGTCAAAAAACAGAAACAAACAGCGGGGGACCTGAGCTGCGAAGATTCGAAGCTCGCTCGCAGCCCGTTGCCATGTGTACCGGTTCGGCACCTGCTCCTATATCCAGCAAGGCCTGGGCAAGACTTGAAAAAGACGCTCTTAAACAAGAAGGAGTTCGTCCAAGTTATGGTATCTTTATCCGAGGACCTTAGAATATGGATCCGACTATCTGATTCAGGATTTCTACAGGGGCTCATGGGGGTTTCTGCCCAAAACCTCTCAACGCTTGAACGCCCCAAGAACAAACGATAACATTTACAAAGCCTAAATCGAACACAAGCCTTGCCAGGAGTCTCTAAACAGTAAAAACCCTGCTACCTTGAAACCCTCCAGGCCCTAAATCCAAACTGAACCCAAAACTCTGATCCCAACCACGCCCTAAACCCTAGAAGCCCTAATTGAACCCTAAACCCACAACCCTGAGCCCTAAACCCGAAACCCTAACTGGACCCTAAACCTGTAGCCCAACCAGGCTGGCAAGCGGAAGGCTTTCCAGCCCTGCGATGACATCGACCCCTCCTTAAAGTTGGTACGGTGGCCTGGTCGCACGCAGACGTCATTGCTATAGGGGCCTAAATAGTTTGGGCAGGGTTCCTGTCAAGAGTATTATCAGGGCTCCTTGAAGGGTCCTATAAGGGATGTTGGTACGGTGGCCTGGCTGCACGCAGACGTCATTGCTCTAGGGGCCTAAATAGCTTGAACAGGGTTTTTTTCAAGAGCATTTTCAGGGCTGCTTGAAGGGTCCTATAAGGGATGTTGGTACGGTGGCCTGGTCGCACGCAGACGTCATTGCTGTAGGGGCCTAAATAGTTTGAACAGGTTTCCTTTTCAAGAGTATTATCAGGGCTCCTTGAAGGGTCCCATAAGGGATCCTGCAAAGGGGACGATAAGGACTACTATCAGGGCTCCTTTAAACGGGACTGTAAGGACTGCTGTACTAGAAGGGTTCTACAATCAATATATATATATATATAGATAGATAGATAGATAGATAGATAAATAGATAGATAGATAGAGGCCCAATTACCAATATAATTTTGGGGGTTCCATGTGAAAATATAGACATATTAGGACCTTAATAGTAGCCCTATTACTGTATGGGGGCAGTACCCACGGTTTCTTAGAAGAGGACGAAAGGTTTGGAAGCCGGATTGTACTCGGAGCTTGGACTGGTGTGCAATCAAGCGCTGCTTGATTTTGAGCTTCCGACTACCCAGAGCCTCCAAAACCCCTTAATTAAGGAATATACCTTAAATCATATAAGGGATCCTACTATAATTTAAGGTGTATTCCTTAATTAAGGGGTTTTGGAGGCTCTGGGTATTCAGAGCTTACATAAGCCCAGCGCCCCGGTTATGCTTGCCTGGTCTACGCGTGTTTTCCGAAACGAGGTGCAACTCCAATAAGGGGCCTGAGCTTCACCGACGCTTATAGTTAGGGTTCCTGGTGAAAACATGTACGGTTTCTTTGTAACCTCAAAAACTATTCTAACTAGTTCTTCCCCGTCATAGCAGGTGATAGCCAGATTGACCGACTACGTGGCAGACCCTACCTCAACTCACCAGAAGCTACCTTTTTCTACGGTCTGAATTCGAAAGCCATTCCAAGAAAGCAGGCTGTGGTAGGCTGCGATGGTTGTCGGAGACAGGAGTATTGAGGGTTGTGTGACGCTTGTCTCGAAAACAGGGTAACTATTCCGTCCTCGTCATGTTCGGCTGAAGTGTTGCTCTGAATGATCAGACAAGAGTGCGAGTTCATTGTCTCGCACAGCAATAAAAGACCCCCACATCCATGTTGGACTTGGGGCTTCAGGGTTTTAGGGTTAAGGGTTTAGCGATCAAAGACACTCAAAACAACCCCTTTTGATGATGCTCCTTCTGATGCTTTCCCTATTGCACAAACCATCGCAAAAGGCAGCTTTCTGACATCGGAACCTTTTACTGGCTTGCTGGGGATCTAGAAGAAACAAGTAGTCGATATGTCCGAAGGTTGGGATCGCCGACGCTTCATGGTTTAGGGTTTACGGGACCAGAGGAAGAGAAGCTTTCCCTTTTTGGGGGCGGTGTAGGGTAGGTTCTTCAAATAGGAGCCCGCAGCCCTAAGCCCAACTCCTCAAAGCCCTAAAGCCCTAAACCCTAAAAGCCCGACACCCTAAGGCGCTAAGCCCTAAATCCCAAAGCCCTAAACCCGAAAGCCCTATATTCCGGATACCTAAGCCTTCGGCGGATGGAAAAAGGTGCTCAAAAAAGAAGCCCTGTCGTCCCTAGAACGCCGAAAAGTCTATAAACCCTTCCTCATAGGGATCCTTAGGGGTGTAGGGGGAGGGGGGGTAGGGGGCCTTAAGGCCCATAATAAGGACTAATAAGGCCTATTTAAGGAAATATAGTTCCCTACACCCCTCCCCCCTACACCCCTAAGGATCCCTATGACTTCCAAAAAGCCCTAGAGCAGGTCTGCGTCTGCCAACCTTGCGAAGCAGTGACTGGCCCCGAAGTGGTCTTACCCCAAGGGTCCAAGTACCTGATAATCATAGGGGTTTGGGGTGTTAGGGTTGTAGGGCTTAGGCTTCGGGGTTTTAGAGCTTTGGGCTTTAGAGTTTAAGTTTTAGGGTTCCTTTAACGGGTTCCGCTAAAACATTCCTTCAAGGGGGTCCTCAGAAGGGTTCCTTTGAGGGGTCCTTGAAGGGGTTGCTTCACAGGGATCCTTTCAGGGAATTTCAGGGTACCATAAATGGTCCTTAAATGTTCGAAGAGACGCTTCATAGGTTTCCATAAGGTTTGTAGGATGTTAAACCGGATTCCTTCGACGCTTTGTAGGGCTTCATAGGGCTTTGTAGGGTCAAAGGATCGGGCTCGGTGTCTAGCGAAGGTTTTGGCTGAGGGTTGAAGGATTTTCGAGTTATAGAAAATAACATCCGCATGTGGGAGTTTTGGGGTCACTACCCGTGGCCGTGGCTCCAAGGACCTTCTATCGTATGGGCTATTCCCTGTAAGTCCCGGGCCAGGTAGTGTCAGGCAGCTGCTGCCCTAGTTAAAGTCTTTGCTCCCCAGCCAAGCCGCGGGTGTAGGCTTTGGGTTTGCAGTCTCCGGAACTCCTTAAACCCTAAAACCCCTAAAGACCCTAAACCCTAAACGCTGCACTCTCTTCCGTTTACAATCTAATCTCTACCGACCTAATTGGGTCACCATTTGGGTCCCAATCAGGCTCTGGCGGCATATGGGGGTTTCCGAAAATTAGTGTACCTTATTTTGGAGTCCGTATAATAAGGATCCTACTATTTAGGGTACTAGATTAGGGTTCCCAACTCCCATTTATCTAAAGAGATGGAGTGTTTGTTTAGAATTAGACGACGAGAAGGCCCAAGTTTCCCGGTGTTTAGGCAGTCTACTTTAAGGGTCATGGGACTTAGTAACTAGGGTTATAATTCAGGTAATTATACTTATAATTACTGATAGCTCCCATTAAGGTACTTATAACCTTACTTACTAAGTCCCATGATCCCCATTATAGAACCCCTTTAAGGAACCCCATTATAGAACCCTATAGTACCCTTATTGAAAGGAACCCTAAACCTTACTAAGTCTCATGATCCTCCAAGTAGGACTGTGGAAGTGCATGCCTTGAGCTGGTCTTTTCAGCAGCCTTCCTGCCAGATTTGAGCCGTAAACGGCCGTAAACCCTAAGCCCAAAACCATAACCCTAAACCCTAACCCCGAACCCCTAAACCCTAAAAAAGAAACCCTGAACCCTAAACCCTAAACCCTAAACCTAAACCCTAAACCCTAACCCAGAGAGATCCGAGGCAGAGACTGGTTGAGGGACTGTGTCTTCCTCAAGGGGATCCTACGCAAGGACTAGGGTAGAGGGCCCTGCTAGAAGGACGGCAAGAATCGCAGAAGACCAAGACCCAAAATTGTAAGACCCAAAATTTTTTCCCAAAATCGTAAGCCCTACACCCCCAAAACTCCAAACCCCAAACCCCCTATGTATTCCAAAGTGCTTACCCCTATCGCAAGAACTGGGCGTCCCCGTGCCGTCGCGCGGGCCGCCCTCGATGCGCTCGGCGAGGACAGCGGATGGGGTGCTTAATTTCTAGTGGTGAAACCGAAGACTATCGGGCGTAAATGGGAGTTTCGGAAATTTAGGGGTAATTACCTTATTTTGGGGTCCTTTTAATAAGGATCCTACTATAGCTCAGGGTTTCCATGAGCTGCAAGAATCAACTCTTTCGGCACGGGGTGTATTCCATAAAAAGAGCCGTCAAAACGTCTGCTATTATAGCCCCTGTAGAGACTTGCCCGTCGGGCTTTGGACGCCTTGAAGTCTAGAATTCGCTGATTCGGTTTTAGGGTTTGTGGATTGCAAGTATGTAGCTTAAACCAGCTTGAACCCTAAACCCTAACCCTGACACCCCGACAAATCTAAGGTGCAAAGCCTATGATTCGATTGGGACCCTCCTTCAAGACCTCATGAATGCTAACAGCTTGAAAGATCTTTGGTTCATGCGCCATGTATGAGGTTTCTGGTAGCAAATTTGGATCCCGATGCTTTCAGATGCAGTTGTTCGGGCAGCGATTGGTGCATGGAGCTTGCTTTGGTAAGGACCACACAGCTACCTACCATAGGGGCGTAAATAATTACCGACACTATTTTGGGGGTTCCCTAGAATAAATATAGTATAATGAGCAACCAACACCCTATTCTAATTATTAAGGCCCCGATATTATCCACCGGCATCCCTAAATCTTAGGCTGCTGGGCTTGTTTGGGGCCACTTCCCTTTCTTGCCCTAAACTCTAATCTCCTATCTATTGGATGGTTGTCAAAATTAGGGCCCCTTTTCGGGTCCCGAATATACTATGGCACCTATTATTTAGGGCCCCCAAAGGGGCCATAATTTTGACAGCTACCCCTATGGATTTCAAAAGATCTGTTAAATGTTATCGGGCTCAAAGGCTACTATTGTGGGGAGCTTTTTCCGGTCTATCCATTCTTGAAGGAGTGTGGGAGATGGTAGAGTTTGGGTTATGAGGACCCGCCTGCCCATAGGCTCCAGAGTAGTTCCTTCTTAGGGTTACCTTACATATAGGGTTCTAAATATGAACCACCAAAATGAACTGCTATGGAGCCTCTAGGAACTCATGAGATTATGCCAGGTATCATCCACTTGAAACTTGCTGGTGAAGCCCTGTGGGCCTATATAATATATATATATATATACACATGAAGGAACCTCATGTGTACCTGCGCTTCGAAATCCCCCCCCCATAGGTTGCAGCTGCGGTGTATGTGTTGTTGAATTTTGTCAAAAACCCACAACCCAAACATAAGCTTTCGGGTGACGCATCCCTGGTTTATTGGCCAGCTAACAGAACTCGACAGACTAAGTAATTACACGTATTGCCTGATAGTCCCCTTACACTTATACCATAATTTTCCCCGAAACCCTTGTTCTAACTATTGATGCCTTAATCAAGTTGAAGCTCTGGGTAGGGGCTTTAATGCTGAGGATTCCTATAGCACCCTAGCCGGAGGATTTAGGATCTGAGGGTGAGGGTTCAGGGTATGACCCTCGAGGCGGATCCACTTAGTAGTACATTAGGTAACTATTTCTTTTCTGGGGGTGCTGTAACCCCTGTATTCATATTCCCACGGTTAATGTTTAGGGTTAAGGGTTCAGTTTTAGTTCCCCGAGGATACTGGACAACTAAGTCAACCCATGCCCCCTTTTACGTTCTCCTGGAGTCTGGGAAATATCCGCGCACAAAGGACGCTGCCCCTTGAAGCCCTAAGCCCTAAACCCAACGGGCGCTTCAAGCCTTGAAGTCGTAAGCTCTTGACTTGGTGCAGACCTTTGAAATCATTGGTCGCAACTGAGGTTCTACGGCCATTCAAGTTATCTTGCTTGTGCAACGTTTACTTGTGTCTCCGGGTTGTTCTCACCTTTTTCACCAAGTCTCAAGCCCCACAATCTCTAACAGATCCCCTAAAGCCCAATGGATAGAGCGCCAAAATACCCCTGACCGCGACCAGACAGTAGGTTGATGATATAAATCCTGCATCACCTTGAGGACCCTACACTATGGGAATTATGGTCTGTTCCTTGTTATGGGTACTGCAGGGTTTATATCACCAACCGTAGGTTACTACCCGTCTATCATGTGGGTGGTTGTCAAAATTATGGTCCCCTTTTGCGTACCCCTGAATATTTGGTGCCGTAGTATATTGCGGACCCCGAAAGGGACCCTTAATCCAGAGGGTCCATATACACCACAAGTATGGCCTTAGGTCCCCCAAACCATAACAGGGATGGTCTTTTGGGACCTATAGTGAACCCCAGAAAGTTGGAACATGGATTTAGGAGGATCACTGCTAGGATTCCCTATACTTTGCTTTAAGCGCATGAGGCTAATGACGTTCTAACCTTCTGGCTTCTACTGTAAGTCCATGATGGTACCACCCATGTAAAGGGAACTCCAGAAAGTTGGAATATGGATCAATGGTAGGATCCCCTGTAGTTTACCTTAAAGGGGTTACGATAATGATATTCCAACTTTCTGGCTTCTACTGTAGGGACTTGGGGCCCATTATACTATAACTATATATTAAGGAACCCCCCAAAATAGTATAGTTAATTATTCAGGCCCCTATAGTAACCAAGGGTTCCATGTAGTGCGTCTACTATAACCCAGCAGCCCCAACAGGGAGTCATCGGCTCGAAAGCCGAACAAAACTCCTCGAATCCCAAACCCTGAAAGCTTAGTTCATGTTCCCAGAGCTCAAAGCCAAAAACAAGCCTAAACCCCTAATAAACAAGCCCTAAACACCTAAACCCCTAGACCCGAGTACCCCAAACTTAGCACCCTACGCACCTTGAGCTCATAGGGTTCTTGAAAGAGGCCCTACCCCCCTTCCCCCTTACCCCCCTAAAGGGTCCCTATGACCCCCTAAACCCTAAACCCTAAACCCTAACCCCTAAACCCCTAAACCCTGATCCCTAAACCCTAAACCCTAAATCCTATCAAAAAAACAACCCTACACCCTGATCAAGGACCGTGACCAAGCTTGTCGTCTCCTACTCTCTGGCCTGGCTCTGGCAGTCTTAGACAGCGAGCCTTGCGAGGCGCCAGGGTCAAAAAAATCATGGTAATAATGGTAACAATAGTAATAATAGTAACACTAGTAATAATAATAATAACAATAACAATAAGAATAATAATAATGATAATAACAATAATAATAATAATAGTAATAATAATAATGATAATAGTAGTAGTAATAATAATAATAATAGTTCTAATATTAATCGTAATAATAATAATAATAGTAACAATAGTAACAATAGTAATAATAGTAACAATAGTAATAATAGTAACACTAGTAATAATAATAATTAGAAGAAGAAGAAGAATAACAATAATAATAGTAATATTAATAAGAATAATAAAAAATAATAATAATAATAATAGTAATAATAGTAATCGTAATAATAATAATAATAATAGTAATAATAGTAATAGTAGTAATAATAGTAATAATAGTAATAGTAGGAATAATAATAATAATAACAATAATAATTTTAATAGTAATAATCATAATAATAGTAAGAGTAAGATTAATAGTATTAATCTCTCTCTAGCTTTGGGATCAGATTATCGTACCTATTTGTAGAAGTACCTATGTATTTTAATGCATTAAGGGCCGTATACGGTTTTATAAATTGGTAACGGATTACATTGTTTGAAAAAGGTTTTTATTGTGTTGTAAGGGTTTCGTACGGCTATATAAGGGAGTTTACGATTCAGGATCTGTGGTTTATGATTTGGGGTTCAGGGTTTGGGGTGTCATGAGGGCGCGTGGAATTGCAGGCGGGCGGAAGTATCTTGTTGCAACATGTTTAATGTTTAGGGCTGCTCGTACAAAGCCCGGATATGGAATGCTTTTGGCCGTCTCCCCTGAACCGTGAAGCCTAAACCCTACACCCTAACGCCTAATTCCTAAACCGCATCCCACCTCACCCCCGTTTCCGGCGGTCAAGCAAGCCACCAAAACTTGGCAGCTGAGCTGTAAAGGTGCCTATACAGCCCTGCAATCCTTCATAATAAGCGAAGAAAGCTTCAAAGACTCTTAAAGACCCAATCAACACCTTGTACAACCCTCTTAACCTCAGTTAGACTCCTGTACAACCCTGCGAAATCCTAGAATATCCCCTCAACAAGACCCTACGGGAGCAGTTGCAAAGTCCGGTTTGATCAAACACACCATAAGACCTATGAAACCTTGCAGCCCCCACATGTTGTTCAAGTCTCATAAAGACCTTTTTATACGGCACCATGCAACCCCTCGAACACCCTACGAAACCCCAAGCCCTATAAACCTTGAAGAATACTATAGAGCCCTAAATAATCACCAATACTATTTTGGGGGTCCCTCACTACAATTATGGTCTGATGGGTCCCCAAACCCTATTCTAGAGTCATTGAGGCCCTTATAGAAGTAGTAGCTCTTATAGACCCCTGAAAAGGAGCCCCAATTGGAGCCCTGTTCTAATTACTAAGGCCCCTATAGTAATTAGTAGCTTCGCCTGCAGGTGGAACTCCTGGCCCAGGGGATCCCTGTCTGGCTAAAGGCGGCAACTCTTGGGTCTTTTGGGAGTTGAGGGGGTCGTTTCAGGTTTGTGGGCTTAAGTCTCTCAGTTATAATCTCAGATTCTGTGGGTTTAGCGGTTTAGGTGCTGTTGGGTTTATGATGTCGTGTTTTAGGCTTTTGTAGAGGTGGGGTTCGCCAGGGCTTAGCCCATAGAAGAGGTCATAGAGGTTTGGTGAGGGGAGAACCGCAGATTCTTCGCAGGCCTTCGGCGAAATAGATTTCAGGCATGTAGATGAGGGCTTTCGTGGTTGGGGAGTCGGTTTGGGATTTGAACCCACGGCTTACGGACTTTGGACAATTTTCCTAAACCCTCGGCCGTAAACAGTCCTAAACCGTAGGCCCGTCACCCAGACACACTCTCAACACTGAGCGCTAAGTATCCTAAGCCCTCTAACCCCACAGCCCTCAAATATTCTAAAGCCCTAAACGTCCTAATCCCGAAACCTTAGAGGAGATGCAGAACAGTACACCATAAAACCCTGAACCTAGCGCTGAACCCCCGGCGAGCAGCTTCAAAATATCCGAAACTTGCGGGAAGTTTACATGAGCAGCACTTGCGCGCACAACGACAAAAACAAGCCATAGCCCCACAAGGGCTTAGAGGGTTTAGGGTTTAGACTTTGGGGTTTAGGCTTTTGGTGTATGAACCAGTTCCGGCCTGTCCAACGGCAGCTTTTGAAGCAAGCGACAACTGTATCGCACGGAAGCATCCCCGACACCCAACTCAACCCTCTATATGGGAGTTTCCGAAAATTAGGGCTACCTTATGTTGGGGGTCCTTTCAATAAGGATCCTACTATTTAGGGTACTATATTAGGGTCCTCTATTTTCGGAAACTCCCATATAGGTTAGGTTGCACTTGAGAGCCCTTTATTGGTAACGTTGCACGTTCATGAAGTTGTACCGGTGCAGTGCAGAGGCTTGGCTGAAGTCAATACGGTTCCCTACCAGATGCTGAAAAGCATTAACTTCGTCAGTAGTTTCGGTTTAGAGTTTAGGGTTCCTCTTCATGTGCTGTTCTCAAATGTTTTGCCGGGGTAATGTAGCACAGCTTCTGCATGGAACGACCTGCAAAATGGCCCCTGAAGAATTGCAATCCGAAGCCGTGCCTGTTGGCGTGGAAGTCGGACTGCTCAGTGGCAAGACTGTGCCTTTGGAGGCGGAGCCGGATGAGACCGTGGAGACGCTGAAGAGAAGGGCTCAGGATGCTTTGGCTGTCGGCAAGCAGGGCCGACTGCTTGACTCCTCCGGAGAAATCTTGGATGGGTTGGAAAGCATAAAGAAAGCCAGGCTGCGAGACGGGGACTGCTTGACTCTGCAGGTGAACCGGATGGTTCTTGCGAGCAATATGCAAGCCTTTGCCGCTATCTGTGCTGATGGGTCTGTCGCGACTTGGGGCGATGCTGCTGCCGGTGGTGACAGCAGTGTCATCCAGGAGCAGTTGAAGAGTGTGCAGCATATCCAAGCCTCGTTTTATGCCTTTGCTGCTATCCTTGCTGACGGATCTGTCTTGACATGGGGACTGACTGAATCCGGTGGTGACAGCAGTCACGTTCAAGAGCAGCTGAGAAATGTGCAACAGATCCAAGCCACAGCTGCCGCTTTTGCTGCTGTCCTTGCTGATGGGTCTGTCGTCACCTGGGGCGATGCTCCCACTGGCGGCGACAGCGCCGCCGTTCAGGAGAAGCTGAAGAATGTGCGACAGATTCAGGCCACCATTGATGCATTTGCGGCCATTCTAGCGGACGGCTCTGTCGTGACTTGGGGCGGCGATGACGTGGGCGGCGACAGCAGTGCGGTCCAACAGCAGCTTCAGAATGTGCAGAGCATTCAAGCATCAGATGGGGCTTTCGCCGCCCTTCTTGCCGATGGATCTGTCGTAACTTGGGGCGATGCCGGGGAGGATGGTGACAGCAGTGATGTGCAAGAGCGGCTGAAGAACGTAAAGCAGATCCAATGCTCCGATGCGGGAGCTTTTGCTGCCATCCTGGCGGATGGATGTGTGGTGACTTGGGGCAAGGCCGAAGCCGGTGGTGACAGCAGTGCCGTCCAGGAGCAGTTGAAGAATGTGCAGCAAGTTCAAGCCTCACATGATGCTTTTGCTGCCGTCTTGCTTGATGGATCTGTAGTTACCTGGGGCCTTGATGCTTCGGGCGGGGACAGCGCTGCTGTTCAAGGTCAGCTCAAGAATGTGCAAGAGATTCAGGCCTCTGAATCTGCTTTTGCCGCCATTCTCGCCGATGGATCTGTCGTGACCTGGGGCGATTCTGCCAGTGGTGGCGACAGTGCTGCCGTTCAGGAGCAGCTCAAGGACGTGCAGCAGATCGAGTCCGCATCCTGGGCCTTTACAGCTATCCTTGGTAATGGATCGGTGGTGACCTGGGGAGATCCAGAGCGTGGTGGCGATAGTAGTGGCGTCCAGAAGCATCTGAAGAATGTGCTTCAGATCCAATCCACCTGTCACGCTTTTGCCACCATCCTTGCCGACGGATCTGTCGTGACTTGGGGCCACGCCGGCTTTGGCGGCGACAGCGACGATGTGCAGGATGAGCTTCAATAGTTTTGCCAAGTTTTTCAAAGGCAAACTCTGTTCCAGGGGTGGGAATCACTGCACTCTAAACCAGAAAGCCCGTTTAGGTCTCAGATCCCGGTGCTCTGAAATAGAAACTGTATCGAATGTACACTTTCATATTCGGATTTCTTGAGTGTGTATATTATACAGGCTTCCTTAGGGATCGTGTTATGCTGGAGGTGGGTATTACCAATGAAAGCCTTACTTCATGTCTTGCAACCTGCCGGGAGCGGGGGTTTGGGGTTCAGGAGAGCTGGAAAATCCTTTCGCAAGTTTCTTCAGTGTTTCGGATACCCAGAGGCTCCAAAGTAGTTCCTTTTTGGGGTTGATATATAGAATCCTATAGGGTAATCCCAAAAAGGAACTACTTTGGGGCCTCTGGGTAGTCTTGAGGGTTGAGGAGTTTAGGGATAGTTTAGGTTTTAGGGGGCTGGGGGTTGCGGGGTGCTGTGTTCAGGGTATTTAGCCGGCTGCCGGTGTGCGAGCCCCAAGTTTTAGGGATGCCTTAGCCGGTTCACGGGATACAGTACCTGTGCCCCAAAAGTAGGTAGAATCATAGCCCTTTATAGGCTTTGGGCCATAGGTTTACCTACTTTTGCGGGTTTGTTTATCCATGTTAACCCTGAACCTAGTTACCCCTAATCGATTCACCACCCCGCGCCTTGCGCCAGATGATTCTGAAGAAGCACGGGAGCCCCTGAAAGCCCCAAGCCCCAACTCCCGCAGCATCGGGTGCGACGCTGCGACATAATCCTTCGGGCTATGCGAGTTAGTGGGTTGGAACACCGTAACCCTGAACCCACACGTTCGAAAGTGCAACCTGTCTCCACCACAAGAGCTCCATACCAAACCTGAGCCTCCACCCTTAAAGTCGCATATTCGGGGATCTCGGTATTGTTTAGATTAGTTGCTAAACCCAAAACCTTAAACCCCAGGCTATACAGTCGTCAGAAACGGATGCCGAAAGCATCCTCGGGGCGATGCAAGAATTAGAGGGATTGTTGCTATGTTTAGATACAATCCAGGGGCCTCAAGATTCAACCAGGGTGTTGCGGTATGGTATTGTAGAACCTTTTAAGAAACATGAGCACTTTCCTCAATGAGGCGACTCGGTAACCTCAGTCTACAGGCATCACATTCCGAGACATGCAGGGTGATGCAGGAGTTTGATGAGTTTGTCCACATAGTTCCAAGGAAAGATCCCCTACATCCTACATCCTAAACCTTCAGCTAGCGGGCGCAACCGTCCGACGATCGCTATCCCAGGCTTGATCATCTGCCGACATATGGCTGCCGGGCAAAAGTCCAGCACTAGTCGAAGGACCTGAACACCTGCTAGAACTATGTTATATTCCTGAGTCATTATGTATGGTGCAAAACTATTATTTGTAAAGTTGCACCTCCTGAAGTGGTATGAGGTAGCGTAGTGGCCACCTACGGGGCTCAGCTGAAGTCACCGTTGTTTCCGGCCGGATGCCCGTAAAGCTCTAACCCTGACAAGTCTTTCGAAGTAGAGTTGAGGATTTAGGATGAAAGGTTTCTATCCAATCATGTGATGTAGGCGCGAGCTGCCAATGGCCCTCGAAGAGTCGCAATCTGCAGGCCACGTGCCTCTGCGCGTAGAAATCGGACTGCTTAGTGGCAAGACTGTGCCTTTGGAGGCGGAGCCGGATGAGACCGTGGAGACGCTGAAGAGAAGGGCTCAGGATGCTTTGGCTGTCGGCAAGCAGGGCCGGCTGCTTGATTCCTCCGGAGAAATCTTGGATGGGTCGGAAAGTATATGCCAAAGTTTCAAGAAAGCCAGATTGGAAGAAGGGGACTCGCTTACTCTAACACTGCAGGTCAACCGGATGGTTCTTGCGAGGACAGTGGAAGCCTTTGCCGCTATCTGTGCTGATGGATCTGTCGCGACCTGGGGCGATGCTGCCGCCGGTGGCGACAGCAGAGCCATCAAGGAGCAGTTGAAGAATGTGCAGAAGATCCAAGGCTCCTGTGCTTCTGCTGCTGCCATCCAGTTGGATGGATCTGTCGTGGCTTGGGGTAGTGCTGAGTTTGGTGGTGACAGCACTGCCGTTCAAGAGCGACTCAAGACAGTGCGAGAGATTCAAGCCACTGAAGGTGCTTTTGCTGCCATCCTTGACGATGGGTCTGTCGTAACCTGGGGTGGCGCGGCTGCCTTGAGTGGTAACAGCGCCGCGGTTCAGGAGAAGCTGAAGAATGTGCGGCAGATTCAAGCCACCGTTGATGCATTTGCGGCCATTCTAGCGGACGGCTCTGTCGTGACTTGGGGCGGCGATGACGTGGGCGGCGACAGCAGTGCGGTCCAACAGCAGCTTCAGAATGTGCAGAGCATTCAAGCATCAAGTCGGGCTTTTGCCGCCCTTCTTGCCGATGGATCTGTCGTAACTTGGGGCGATGCCGGATCTGGCGGTGACAGCAGTGATGTGCGAGAGCGGCTGAAGAACGTAAAGCAGATCCAATGCTCGATTGCGGGAGCTTTTGCTGCCATCCTCGCCGATGGATCTGTCGTGACTTGGGGCAATGCCGAAGCCGGTGGTGACAGCGCTGCCGTCCGAGAGAAGCTGAAGAATGTGCAGCAGATCCAAGCCTCAGATGATGCTTTCGCTGCCATCCTGCTTGATGGATCTGTCGTAACCTGGGGCAATGCTGCCTCGGGCGGAGACGGCGCTGCTGTTCAAGGTCAGCTCAAGAATGTGCAAGAGATTTCGGCCTCGCGAGCAGCTTTTGCTGCCATTCTGGCCGACAGATCTGTCGTAGCTTGGGGCGACGATGAATCTGGCGGTAACAGCTCTGCCGTTCAACAGCAGTTGCGCGATGTGCAGCAGATCGCAGCTTCATCCTGCGCTTTCGCAGCCATCCTCGCAGATGGATCGGTGGTGACGTGGGGACATCCGCATTATGGTGGTGATAATAACTCCGTCCGACCACGGCTGCAAAAAGTGCTTCAGGTGCAATCAACAGGTTACGCTTTTGCTGCCATCCTGGCCGACGGATCGGTCGTGACTTGGGGCGATGCTGGCTCTGGTGGCGACAGCGACACTGTGCAGGATCAGCTACGGTAGTACCTTGAATCCTTGAAGTACTGCGGAGGTTTAAAGTCAGCAGCTGCCCTTATGCTGTTTGCAGCTTTTGCAAACTCCTGTTTGCAAAGTAGCATCGCCAAATTCAAAAGGGCAACCCGAGCCCCAAGACTCTAAACTAAAGTGACTACAATCCACACCTCAAGCCCCAACACTAAACCCATTAACCCTAAACCCTAAATCCAACCGCACCTAAAGTCCACACCTAAACCCTAAACCCTAAACCCTCAAACCCCAACCCTTGGCAGCTCTACTCGAAAGCTTCTCGAGCCCTGGACCGATCAGCTGCCAGGGCCCGAGGTTTAGAGCTTACAGGGAACTCCAGAAAGTTGGAATATGGTCTCAGGGTAGGATACCCTATAATTTACCATAAAGGGTTCAGGATAGTTATATTCCAACTTTCTGGCTTTTACTTTAGGGCGTCAAGGGTCAAGGGTTCATGGTCTAGGGAGTTTAGGGATTTGGGGTTTAGGGAAGGGGTCCTCTTGGGAAGAGTCGAAAGGAGAGGGAGGGGCGACATGAACCTATGCCGACCACTGTTTAATTTTCATAGGAGGCCAAAAGGGGATTTAGCCTATGGGGGTTTAGTCGGGATCAGGGTTCCCATAATAGGGTTCATATTGAGGAATCCCTACCCCAAGAATCTTAAACCACCCTTTTGGCCTCCCATCAAATTTCATCTCTTCTTAGAAAGTTTGAGCTGTTTGGGGCCCGGGTATTGAAGAAGAGAGCTAACTGTAGAGCTTTCAACCCAACAGCCGGCCACCCTGAACCCTAAACTGCTTGAACTCTAAACCACGTGTGTAGCCTACAGCTGTTCGAGTGTCTTTGTAGGTTTATCCTGTAGGATTTTGGGTTGAGGGATTGCAGGGTTTGGGTTCAGACCCCACACATGAACCCCTACCCTATTGAAACTAGACCCTAAGCCCTGAACCTTCCACAAAGACTTGACGAAATTGACAAGTACTTCCGGCCTGAGCCAGGAAGAGGGTGACGAATCGAGATCGACAGTCCTCAGCGTAGGCCTTTTCCGTGCGGGTGTGGGTTTGGGGGGGGTGGGTGGGCGGGAGTCGGTTTGGGGTTTGCTTAGGGCTGGCGGCAAGACTTCAAGCCCAAACCCTGTACTTCCAACTGTTCGTTAAATCGTACCTTTCGAAAACAATAGCAGGTTGTGCTCCCAGAATGATAGGCTCTAATCCTTCAAACACTAGATGTTTGAATCCACGACCCTAGACCACAAAGCCTAAACCCTAAGCCTCTAACCCTAAACCCTAACCCTAGCACCCTAGAGCCTTTCAGCCTGCACTGCAGTATTTCCTACCTTTTCCTTATCTCTGAATAACCTACATATTATGATTTTCTTATAGAAGTCCTTAAAAAGGTAGGTTATTCCTGGTTAAGGTTAAGCCTACACCCTGCAAGCAAGCGACTGAAGTGACCGGGTTCCGAGCTGGGAAGCATTTTTCCCGTCACTCTAGTATATTGGACACAGCCTGGTATCTTCAGCTACTGCCGGCAGCCGTGCTCCCGAGATAAGCCTAAGCCCTGAACCCTTACATGTTAGGCTGAAACCCTAAACCCTAATTAGCAATACTAACCCCTACACCCCTGAACCCCCATCAACCCAAAGCCCTGGGCTTGCAGATGGATTCTGGGTACATAACCTCGTTTCCATTCCTTGGCCCCTAAATCCTGAACTGCTCACCTCAGCCTGGATCTTTCTTGGCCTAATCTGTAAGGTCACTCCAACCTTCTACAATAGGCTCGTAGTCAGAGCCTACAAGGAAGTACTTACGGTAAACCTCAAAGCCCTGTTGGGTCAAAGTGGGATGTTGGGTTGTGGGTAAGGATATTGTAAATTTCGATACTATACCTTATCCCTGAATAACCTACCTTTTCAGGGTTCCTTAGTATGACTTCTTTATATAAGTCCGTAAAAAGGTAGGTTTTTACGGGTTAAGGTAGGCAGTACAGGGTTTGATACATTAGCAAAGCGATTGCGGCAAGAGTAGTCGGAGTTCCAGCCATGGTTGCTCTCAGGACAAAACCAGAGCCAGAGAGCTTAGAGAAAGCTTGAGCTCCTATACCATAAACCCCTAAACCCTAAACCCTAACCCCTACGCCCTAACTTCTAAGCCCGAAACCCTAACCGGTTTTTTTTTGGCCAAAATTTTGCATACTTTTTGGGGTTTAGGTAGTGTAGCAACATGACATTCGACTGTGCATGCCTAGGATGCAGTGATTGGTGCGGCTCAGTTGGCGGAAATCGTGGAGGTGCTAACTGTTGTTTCTGAAGAAGCTGACACTTGAGCGAGGATGCTTGTTGAGAGGGACATGGTAGCAGGATCCGCGTCATTGGTATTCCGATGACGCAGGCTGGAGAAATCAAGCAGCTTTGCAAGATGGGGAGCTGCTGTTGCTGCCCGTCGGCACCCTGGTCAAGCAGCCTGCGAACAAGGTCGCCAAAACGGCATGCACCGTCACGAGCAAGTCGCTTCCGGATTGCGTGTATGTGATCCAGACGACGAAACGTGATTTCGTGCCATTTTGGCATGTGAAGGAGGCATCGTCTGCTGAGGCGACAACCAAAAAGTTCGGTGAGGTGCGATGGGAGTGAAACCCAAGACCGCTAAACCCCAAAATCTCCAAGTGGTGGCCCTTTAGGGTTTAGGGTTTAGGTTTTGTTCCCCTTCCGCACCGTGGATTTCTCAAGAGCAGGGGAGACCTCAAGCAGAGTCTGACGACTACCCAAAAAATCGAAACCGACTCTAAGCCCCTAAGCCCCAGACCCTACCTTAACCCTGAATAACCTACCTTGTTAGGGTTCCTGATTATGACTTCTTTATATAAGTCCTCAAAAAGGTAGGTTGTTTCAGGGTTAAGGTAATCCCTGAACCCACCCAAAAGCTTGGCAGGTGCTTTTGAAGGTTGTTTCTTGCTTCGTGTACAGAAAGGTCGCCAGGACGGTGCCATCGTTATTGGGGCGTTCCTGCGGTTTACTTTAAGGTTTGGGTTTCGGCGTTTAGAGTTTATAGAGTGTAGGAGTTTAGGGTTCAGGGTTGAAGGTTTCGGGCTGGGGTTTAGGGCTCAGGCGGCTTTCGCAATGCTTTGCGAATTTTCAATTGTTATATAAACCCATATCTCGGAGTTTCAGAACAAGTGGACCCTTACCTACTCCCCCCATTAGCACCCTTTTGTCCTTTCCTTTTTGCAATGTGCTTCTAGGGTATGCTAAGGCAGAAGAATCCTTGTTGAAAGGATCTCCAAATAAGGGATCCCGAGATGTGACGAAAAACTGCTGTTCAAAGAATGTTTCCAGAAATCCTAGAGCCTAACTGCACCCTTTCCTTTTGTGTCCAATAGTCGAAGCTTCGGGAGACTCTGTTAGCAAAAGCATGCAACAGCCATATGTTGTCGAACCCTGTATTCTCAACCTTTTTCAGACCCTTAAAGCCGAAACCTCGGCAGTCGTATGACCAAAACCTTTGGAAAGCTCTTCAGATAGATACTTGCCACCATGACTCAAACCTTCGGGTGGATCCACAAAGTGGATTCCCTAGGGTGGTTCCTATAAAGCATCCCCTTAAGGGTGGCCTGGGGAAGTCTGATATCGCCGCATGCGACACGAGATCGACCCCCCAATTAAGAGGCCCGGAACTCGGGGGTTTAGGGTTTAGGGGTTTAGGGGTTTAGGTTTTAGGGTTTAGGGTTTAGGGTGGCCCTGACACTAAGTCCTAAACCCTGACAGCTGAACCTTCAACGCCAAAGAGTAAACGACTCCGCCACAACGCTGTCAAACCAGCGTAACGCTTTTTAGGGTTTGTAGTAAATCAACGCCTACAAACCCTAGGCATGAAACCAGTGCCCCGAGTCTCAACGCTCAAAGCCTCAACTCAATCCCTAAAGCAGTTATAACAAAGCCTGTGAAACCCCAGATCAAATCTTATACACCCTATAAAACCATATACAAGCTTGAAAAGCCCTTCTTACATAGGAGCCCAAATAATGAATACATATTTATATATACATATATATACATATGTATATGTATACATATATATATATACAGTATATATATATATATATTTATTACTGCTTGGGGCTTCTTACCACAGCTATGCCATGAAATACGTACTCCAAAGCCCTATTCTCACAATTACGTACCCGACATTGATATCCTTACATCCCTCTAGAAAACTCAACGGAGACTCTCAATGTCGCCCTGAAACGAACGTTCTTCTAATTATCAAGGCCTCTATAGAAAACCACAAGCCCTGAATCCCTTCTAGAACCCTCAAACCCTTCAAAGAGGAACCTTCAACCCTAAGCCCTAAACTCCAAACCCCAAACCCTAAACCCTGAACCCTAAAAAAAAAACTTGAACCCTAAACCCCGAACAGGAGCCTTTGCGGCTTTTCGCTCTGGAGCCGGTTCCTTTGAGAGATTAAAAGAGAGGCCGCTGATGGGGTGTAGGGTTTAGGGGTTTAGGGTTTAGGGTGTATGTAGGGTTTACGGTTGTGCTGGCCTTTCGTACATGTTTTCAGGGTTCTTAGTCGGGTTTGACGGGTTGTTTGTGGCATTTCAATCAGGGTTTGATTAGTGTCAAGCAGGTTTCCATGGGGTTTTGATAGATTGCTTTTTGCTTTCTTTTTGCTTGTGGGTGTGGTCTCGGCTTGGGTTTCAAGTTCCGCGTGGTAAATTCTAGCTTCCGGGTTAGGGTGTGGTGCTCCAAGAGGATTGCGGGAGTTCTGAATATGAGTGGACCCTGATATCCTCCTCGATGCCCGTATCACGTGCCCTATTTAGTGAGCAGCAACACAGCCTGCTATTTCCCAGGTGGTGCGTTTGCCCTGCTTGTTGAACCTGGGTTTGCACCAGCCACGTTCCGAGCACTCCATGGGCACCATGTCCGATGTGCACACTGCATCTTGTGGATTATGCGGGAGGATCGTCTGTCCAGGACATGAAAGACGCCCAGTCTGGACGACCCCCTCCGCTACGAGCACAATGAGCGCAAGCGGCAGCTTCTAACGGAGCCCTATTCTAATTACTACGGCTCCTATATTACATGATTACATACATGTCTTGTCTAAAGAACTGGAAGGCACAAAATGGATTTGCGGATCCTTTGGAGGGTTCCGGGTTCAGGGCTTGGGGTCGTGTAGGTTCAAGTTCTAGGATCTGTCTCGAGTGTAGGTCGGGTCCTAAGGGGCCTGCATTGAGAGTTTTTGTTGAGGATTGTTAGAATTAGTGCCTTAGGGCCTTTATGGGTATATCGAGGGTTTTGCATCGGGCGTTATTGTGGATTTTAAAGGCTCGCCCACGTTCAAAACCTCTTCCCACACAGAATCCGCACCCTTGTCAAAGCATATACACCTCCTTATGACTTAGGAAACACATTCACAACAACATAGAGGATCGTTACAAAACATACTCCCAACCCTAAACTCTACAGTAAACCCCACAAAGTTGGAAACCGGATTAAGGCCAAATAGTGCTGGGATTCCCTATATCAATAATCTTAAAGATTGAGGCTATGAGGTTTCCAACTTTTGGGCTTCTACCGTAAACTCCAAAGCCCTGAACTCCGAAGGGGGGGGATCTCAGGTGGACGTTTGCCTGGTGTCAGCTCCGGGGCTCATTGTGGAGGAGGCGCAGGGGGGGCTTCGAGGGCTTCGAAGGGGGAGGCGAAGGGGGGCCTGAAGGGCTTCGGGTTTAGGGTTTAGGGTTTAGGGTTTAGGGTTTAGGGTTTAGGGGTTTAGGGGTTTAGGGTTTAGGGTTTAGGGTTTAGGGGTTTAGGGTTTAGGGTTTAGGGTTTAGGGGTTTAGGGTTTAGGGTTTAGGGTTTAGGGGGGCCTGAAGGGTTTGAAGGGCTTCGAAGGGGGCTTCGCCTGCGGTCCAGGGTCGCAGGGCTTAGGAGCTTGGGGATGTAGGGTTTAGGGGTTTAGGTTCAGGGCGTGAGGGTTGAGGTCGTCTTGGGTTTAGGCTTTGGTACAGACTTGTCTAGAGTCTGGGAATTGTGACTTTGAGTTTGGGGTTTTGGTAGGGTCTAGGGATTAGGGTTATAGGGCTTAGGGTTTAGGGTTTTAGGGCCAGCAACAAACTGTAGGTTCTCATGACACATCCTAATGTAGAAACAAGGAGCCCTGCAGAAGAAAAAGAGGTTTTTGTAGGTCAGCATAGAGTTCCTGGCTGAGGCCTGCAAAAGGTTTAGGTTTTGGGGACGTAGGGTCTCAGGCTGGGGGTTTAGAGGTGGGGTCTTGGGTTGAGAGAAGGTTTAACGAGCTTCTGGTGCACACAGCACGGCTGACCTGTTCTGTGGTGCAGATGAGCAGAAAACCCCCCCAACAAGCTGCTATGCCGGTTCCGATATCATGCTAGTTCCTGCCACGGCTTGTGGAGGTGGCGCGAGGTCGTTGTCCACTCCCAAGAAATGAACATGCTCACACGCTCGCTCGGCTACGCGCGCTTACCTTTGATGGTAACCCTAAAGCCATAAACCTTAAGCCGGTATGAGCGTTCTGCAAGGGGACTTCTGACAAGCTCCTGGACAGACTTTTTGCCTCGATGCCGTATGATGATCCTAAGCCCTCTGCCCTTGTTAAGCTGTATGTGTTGCAGCAGTATGATCACTGCCCTAAAACCTAAACCGAAGGACGCTCAAAACAGGACCCTAGGTTCAAGAATCTCCCAAGCAACCCGAAGCCCCAAACCCCGAAACCCTAGGCCCTCATACAAGCCTGCAAGCTCTTGAGACCTATAGAAAATCGTCATACAAGCAGTCATAACAAACACAGCACAGCCATGAGCAAACGTTACTGTAAAAGCCTCAATTCCCACCCAGGCCAGCTGTAAACCCGCAGCGGGGTGGCCAGTCTAAGCTCACAGCGGGCGGGAAAAGACTCAATTCGTTTTTGTGACCTTACCGACACCTCACCCGTAAGTGTGCTGGGCGCTTTAAGCCACAGAATCCCACCGAAATTGCGGCCGCTGCGGCTGTCCTATTCAAACCCTAAACCCTAAGCCCCTAAACCCTAAACACAGCCACTCCCTCTGAAGGCATGGGCCGAGCTGGAATACACAGAGGCGCCAGCCGTGGAAGGCCTCGAGAAGGCCTCAACACCTGTCAGCAGGGCTTCGTGTCTTCTCATCATATAGGGGCCTTAATAGTTACCACTAATGTGGGGGAATTCCTTATCAAAATTATAGTATAACGGGCCCCAAAGCCCTATTCTAATTGTTAAGGCCCCTATTATAGGTCAGAGCCCAAACCTCCACACCGACGGGATCAACGGTGTTCAATGACCTGTGAACCCTCAGCCCCGAACGCCCTAAGAGTAAACCCCAACAGCCTAAAGCCCGTCATAGCCAAACCCTACACCGCCCAACACTTCCTAGGACCGGCCTAAACTCTGAACCCTTTATACCTCAGGGGTCTAGGAAATGGGGTTTAGGGTTCAGGGCTTTGGGTTTGGGGGTTCCGGGTTTTAATGGCACATCCTTGCAACCCGCAACTTGGAACCTGTTTAAAGGACCAGAGCCCCGTAATTTCGGGGCTAGCCGAAAACCCCGGGACCCTAAACCATCGTTCCGACACCCCTAGACCCTGAACCCTAGTTCCTAACCCTAAACTCCCAAACCCTAAACCCCCAAACAATTATAAAGCCTAAAGCCTAAACCCCTAAACCCTAAAGCCTAAACCCTCTACCCTAAAGCCTAAACCGAAACGCTCCGGTGTCTCAAGAGGCGCCCGCCAGGCCGAGCCTTTAAAGCCATCCGCAAAACCCTACCCTTGAGGCAGCGCGCAAAAGAAAAGTTAAGGGTTTAGGGTTTAGAGAAAGTTTACGCACCTCTGGCTAGTAGGGAATGGTAGTAATAGTAGTTATAATTGTACCCCATTCCTGCATTCCCTACTAACCAAAGGTAAGTTTAGGGTTTTAGGGTTACCCATGTGAAAGCTCTATTGATATGCTACGAAACCGTGGGTGGAACACAGATGTTGATAAGCCTGAACCTGCAAAAAGCCTCAAACCCCAAGCCCTAAACCTTAGAAAGCCCCCAAGAGCCTGAACCCTCAAACACCAAACCCTGGGCCCGTTTCTGCGGATCGAAAAGGGGCAGAAATAATGCCTCGGCTCTGAAGCTTCACTCGCTTTGAGAGGACTCGGTGATCCACTCCTGCTCCTACGACCCGGGTCCAGTTCAAGTGCTCCGGATAGCATGGTTTTGAGGCAAGCCCCGCAATGTAGGAACCTGATGAAGGAACCCTGGGCCTATAACCCCCAAAATAGTAGGGTTCATATCAGGAACCCAAACAAAGGCCCAAGGTTTCTTAATCAGGTTCCTATGTTAGTCATAGTCATAGTACCCTGGCAAACAACATCGACAGTACTAGGTTGAGGACTACTTAGGATCGCCCTTTTGACCTGTGAAGCTTTATGAAGCCCAGTATGATGCTCTGAAAGACTAGGCCGATCCTTTAAAGCACTTTCTGTGCCCAAACCCCAGCAGGATAAGAGTCGCAACCCTAAACCCTAAACCCTAAACCCTACACCCTACACTTAAAAAAAAAAACCTAATTAGCCGAGGTCCCCTTGGATCGATGTGAGGGGAAACCCTCCTTAATCCTTGTCCGTGCTGGGAGCTCAGCATTTTCCTAGACCCTCCATCTACCCTCTATTACCCTAGGGATCTAAGGACTCACACATTAAGGCTTTTGGGCCCAAAGACCATACTATGTAAGGTGTTTGGGCTATTTTGATCCCTGGGGTTAGACCCTAAATGCCCGTTAGTTGGGACCATATACCCCTACTTGAGGGTACAAGGAGGGTCCTGGTTCGTGTTGGTCTTGTCGTGGTGTGCCAGTTGTGACTTTCAAACCTCGCATTGGTAGCCCATGGTTCTTCGATGGTGGCCGATAGTTGTGAATGCCAGAAGCAAGTAAAGCCCTAATGCCTCGGACGCCACGTCCCTAATACGTCCTACTTTTAAACCCCCGGTCCTACCTCAGTGAAGTCAAACTCAAATGCTTTGGCCTGGATGCAGCCGTCCTTTGGATTGACATTGCGTCCCCGAGAGGACTCAGGGTTGGGGGTAATGAGATTTTGGGTTGGAGTTTAGGGTTTGGGGCTTATAAGGTTTAGGGTTTACGGGTTTGAGATTTCATGTTGCCGGGCGTTGACATTTGCAGTCCGATTGTGATATCGAAATCGCTTTAGGATTTGGCCTGAAGTCGCATGTGGCGATTCAGGGCGTCGGGCGGGCAAGCACTAAAATTCCTCCTGGAGCGGGGTTTAGGGGGGGGAGGGTGGCGGGAGCACATGCTGACAACAGCGCGCAGCCACCGCGATTCCGCCTTCTTAAAGAAGTGCACCCACGGCGCCGGCACTTTGTAGTTCACCCCCGAATCCCCGAACACTAAACCCCCTAAACCCTAAACTCCAAGACCTTAAGCCCTAAACCCAAACACCCTAAAGCCTAAACTCGAACACACGAAACCCTGAAACCCAAATACCTGACAGCCCCCAAGCCCTCAAACCCCAACACCGCCAAGGTCGTGAAAAAGACGAACATCATCGCTCCGCCCAACTCCATGTCGAGAGCTCGTAGGCGGTTTTTTGAACAGCCTGATTAAGAAAGGGGCTTTAATAATTACCTATACTTTTTTTGAGATTCCTGTTTATAAGTGTAGTATAATGGGCCCCCAAAGCCCTATTCTAATTGTCAAGACCCCCACATTAAGGGTTTTAGGATTTAGGGCCTTGAGATTGTAGGATTTATAGGGTTTAGGGTGAAAGGGTGTTGGGGTGTAGGGTTTTAGGGTGTCGGGGTTTAGGGAATTGCTCAGGGTTTACAGGTTTAGGGTTTAGGACCTAGTTAATGTTGAATAAACTACTCGTCGTTGATTGGGCCTCATACGGTCCCCCCACGGGTTTGTTGGACGTTTCCTCCAGAGGCTTCAAGAAAGGTTCCTTGATGGATTCCTTTAGATGTTCTAGAAGTGTGTAGTGGTTTAGGCCCGCTGGCACTGAAAACATCCGCTGCGCTCCGGTCGCACGTAGTTGGGGATAAGTTTACCGATCATGGTCAGAGTTTTGGGCAACGGAGGGCAGGTGAGTAACATGATGTTTTCGGGGTTTCCGATTGAGGTAAGTTCCTACTTGTTGAGATCCCACATCCCGATGCCCACCTTGCCTGTGGTCCCGGAGAATCCCCTGAATCCGACATCCGCTCCTATTCATTTGCTTTGAGGTTATCGTAACGATGAGTCGTAGAACAAGGCGGTTTTAGTAGCTTTTGCGCAGGCCTGCAAACTCGCTTCTAGAAACCTTGAAAGGAGGCCTATAATTCAAACCCTATAGAGAACCGCCCTTGAAGCCCCAAGCAAAAAGAACTTCGAGAACGAAGGAACATACCTTGTAGAAACCCTCCAAGGGCCCTTCATTGAGAAATCCACCTTGTAGAAACTCAAAAAAAGGGACCCTTCAACTTAACCGTAAACCCTGTACCCCAAAAGTCAATAGAGGAACCCTTCAACTTAACCCTAAACCCTATACCCCAAAAGTCAATAGAGGAACCCTTCAACTTAACCCTAAACCCTATACCCCACGAGTCAATAGAGGAACCCTTCAACTTAACCCTAAACCCTATGCCCCAAAAGTCAATAGAGGAACCCTTCAACTTAACCCTAAACCCTATACCCCACGAGTCAATAGAGGAACCCTTCAACTTAACCCTAAACCCTGTATCCCAAAAGTCAATAGAGGAACCCTTGAACTTAACCCTAAACACTATACCCCACAAGTTAATAGAGGAACCCTTCAACTTAACTCTAAACCCTATACCCCACAAGTCAATAGAGGAACCCTTCAACTTAACCCTAAACCCTGTACCCCAAAAGTCAATAGAGGAACCCTTCAACTTAACCCTAAACCCTATACCCCACAAGTCAATAGAGGAACCCTTCAACTTAACCCTAAACCCTATACCCCACAAGTCAATAGAGGAACCCTTCAACTTAACCCTAAACACTATACCCCACAAGTCAATAGAGGAACCCTTCAACTTAACTCTAAACCCTATACCCCACAAGTCAATAGAGGAACCCTTCAACTTAACCCTAAACCCTATACCCCAAAAGTCAATAGAGGAACCCTTCAACTTACAGAACATCACGCCCTGGTGGCGTGCTTTTTCGTGTGTTCGTGTTTTCACTTGCACTCTCAGATGGCAAGCTCAGCAAGCTCTTCGTTTCCCGCAACATTGTTTTAGCAGCATACAACATTTTACGACGTGTTCTGAATTGACAACAAATTCCACCAAACCATTTGAAAATGTTCGGGCATAACCGAACACCGGTCCGAGAGAGATAAAGTTATGGGACAAACTTTCAAGGACATAAGGGCATGGCCTTAAGGTGTGGCTCTAGGCCTCTAGGCCTTGGAGTATGGAGGCCTGGAGCCCTGGAGCCCTGGGGGGGGGGGGCGCCAAAAAAAAAAGAAAAAAAAAATCTTGTGTGCAAAATCTCTGGCCAATTTTTTTTTTTTTTTTTTTTGGCGCCCGGCCCCCAGGGGCCATCCGGAGGGCGCATGTCTGTAAGCAGAGGATGCCTGGAGCCTTCGGCCTTTGGCACTCCCAATCCAGCGTTGCTCAATCATTTCAAGGTTTCCAGTATGCCACCAATCCTGTCCTGTCCAATGAAACATCCCTCTGTCAAGACTTTACGCTTGCTAGTGTTGTCCACCACCTAGGAAAGCGGCTCCAACACCTGAAAACTGTGACAGAAGTATGATGGGTAATTCATTCTACACAGTAAAAGTATGATGGGAATAAGATCCTTGTACCGGGACCCAAGTTCAGAAGGAGTTATTGGGCCTCGAACCCAAATGCATATGATGGTCCTAACCGTCTCAAGAGATGCTGGGTGGCGAACCCAAAACCTTAGACTGTAGAAGATATTGGACCCTCACCCAGAAACTTAGACAATGCAGTAAAAATTGCAAGCTACAATATCCTTGTTACATTTGAGGCGGAACATATATAGTTACCTGGAAGCCAACCTTGGTATATAGATGTTTGTACCAACATATATATGTATGTATCTATATACACGTCTGTGTATGCATGTTGGTATATGACATGAAGGCATGCATACACACCTGCATATGGATGTGTAAGCTTACATACACACATGCTCATGCTGTTTCCATGTTCATGCTTTTCCCATCCTTATGCACACATACATATATTCTTAATACATATGTACATACACGGGTATATACGTACATACATAAGTATCACGGAAACATGTGCAATATTTCTGAAATAAGCGAGCATATGTGTATGCAACAATGAGGCATTTAGGCAGCCATGCACTGAAAGGAAAATGGAGGGCCGCAGGTTCCTATCCCAAACCCCGAAAGGGCATGGTGGGTACAGGATGCGGAATTTCAAATCTGTGTGGAAGCACGTCCTCCACACCTGTACATATATACATCTACATATACATGTAATATATGTGTGTGTGTACATATATATATATACATAGATATGCACGTATACAAGTTCATGCATTCTCGAAGCCTATGCAACCATGTACAAGTTCGTGAACTTTGGAAGCCCATGCACGCGCACACACATGTATATGCATAAATCTATCTCTATATAAATATGCACATATAGATAGGTTTTTTTGCGATATACATGCAAGTACCTGGGTATGTAACCGCAAGGCCACGCTGCAGTTGCACACACGATGTAAATTGGAACCTTGCAAGCATATTATGGGTGGATGACACATGTATACATGCATACACACACATATAACTTTGTGTGCATCACGGAAATGGGTAATTACATTGTCTTTGGGATTTACATGGAAGTGGGTGGATGATGGCGAACAACAGGTCTTCAATATAATAACTGATTAACATGCCCTATTACACCGTAAGCTAATCCTTAAAAGGTGTGGCCCGCCCAGCCAGAAATGCAAATCACATTACGGGATGCTGGGAGACCACCAGAATAAAAACCAGAGTCTGAACACTTTAGTACATATCACGGGCTACACTTATCCACGAAAGATATATAGTGTGTAGCGAACCTGAGTACCGAAAACGATGACGTGTGTCCAGAGCATCCAAACTCTACTGGAAGACATTCGGCTGAAACGCAGTGCCGCGCATGGATGTAATGAGCCAAACCCCCGTAGAAGTTCGATGAGTGGCGGAACCACAACTGGATCCTCAAATCGATGACTGTTTTCCCAAATACAGGCAGACTAGAAGATATTGCACTCTCAATCCAAGGCTTCAATAGTAGATGACGGGGTAGCAAACCTTCAAAGGTGGCAAACCCCTCAGAGCTTTATAAGTGTAGCCACGGCTTCAGATGCGGTTGTATATACACATCGATGACGGTCTGCCTGTCAATATAGTCGCTTTTATGCTGCAGCCCACGCCACAATTTCAATCCCTTGTTGAAGACATGATATATACATTAAGTTACAGGTCAGCATTCGTATGCACATGTAAATATACACATTTCCATAAACACGCATCCATTAAAGCCAGATGCATATGTGGATAGACACCCAGGGGTTGTGATGGATTCTTAATGATTTTGACATGATATGCCAGATCACGCACCTCAACTTCAATGGAGATGCTGGATGGCAAACCTCCTCCCTCTTCCCCAACAAACTCCTACTTCGTGACATGCCCAAGACTCAAAATCAAGGGTGCATGCCTGGATGAGGCAACACAACGCTTAATATTCTGGGTGCATAAACTCGTGTGAAAACCTCTAAATTACCGAGAAATACACGCCACCAGGGCGTTGCACTCTCTCAACTTAACCCTAAACCCTATACCCCACAAGTCAATAGAGGAACCCTTCAACTTAACCCTAAACCCTATACCCCACAAGTCAATAGAGGAACCCTTCAGCTTAACCCTAAACCCTATACCCCAAAAGTCAATAGAGGAACCCTTCAAATTAACTCTAACCCTATACCCCACAAGTCAATAGAGGAACCCTTCAACTTAACCCTAAACCCTGTATCCCACAAGTCAATAGAGGAACCCTTCAACTTAACCCTAAACCCTATACCCCAAAAGTCAATAGAGGAACCCTTCAAATTAACTCTAACCCTATACCCCACAAGTCAATAGAGGAACCCTTCAACTTAACCCTAAACCCTGTATCCCACAAGTCAATAGAGGAACCCTTCAACTTAACCCTAAACCCTATACCCCACAAGTCAATAGAGGAACCCTTCAACTTAACCCTAAACCCTATACCCCACAAGTCAATAGAGGAACCCTTCAACTTAACCCTAAACCCTATACCCCAAAAGTCAATAGAGGAACCCTTCAAATTAACTCTAACCCTATACCCCACAAGTCAATAGAGGAACCCTTCAACTTAACCCTAAACCCTGTATCCCACAAGTCAATAGAGGAACCCTTCAACTTAACCCTAAACCCTATACCCCTAAAGTCAATAGAGGAACCCTTCAAATTAACTCTAACCCTATACCCCACAAGTCAATAGAGGAACCCTTCAACTTAACCCTAAACCCTATACCCCACAAGTCAATAGAGGAACCCTTCAACTTAACCCTAAACCCTATACCCCACAAGTCAATAGAGGAACCCTTCAACTTAACCCTAAACCCTATACCCCAAAAGTCAATAAAGGAACCCTTCAGCGCCTAAACCCGAAACCAGAAACTCTCAAAGGAACCCGTCGACTGAGCAAGAAGGATCCCTACAGATCCCTAAACATGCATGGTACCCTTAAAGCAACCTTTGAAGGAACCCTATTATTACTGAGTGGGACCCTGTGACCCTGAAAATAACATACCTTAAATATACCTAAACCCTTATGATACTCTTAAAACAACCTTTAAAGGAACCCTATCACTATTTAATTATTTCGGTACCATGATCCTAAAGCCTAAACCCTTCAAAAGGAACCCTATTACTACTATTTGGGTACGATGGAACCCGGTTACACTTGTTTTGGGTACCACGGACCCGTTGGGACTTGGATGTCTCGAAGGCGGCCGCGGGAAGCTGCGAAGCGATCTTCGGGCTTGGCGGAGCTTGCAGAGGCCACGCCTCACGAGGGCCTGTTGTGAGTTCTAGGGTTTTAGGGTGTTAACGTTTTTTTGGGGTTTTGGTGCAGTTTAATTAGGGTTTATGGTTTCTTGGTTTTGGGGTTGTTTTAGGGCTTTTAGGGTGCATAGGGATTTACGGCTTGGGGGTCTTGGGTTTTCAGGGTTCCATGGGTTCGAGGGTTTTAGGGCTTTTGGGCTGTTTGGATGTATAGGGCTTAGTGTGTAGGGCCTTCCTTATGGCCGTTTTGTGGGTTCTGGTGGTTTTTGGGGCTTATATCGTAGGGTTTCCAGGTTTTTAGGGTTTTTGGGTTCTAGGGTTTTTTTATAGGGTTTTAGGGTTTCTGGGTTCTAGGGCTCTTGGGTTTGAGGATGTTTAGGGCTTTTCGGGTGCGTAGGGTATTATGAGGCTTTGGGGCTTGAGGTTTTCAGGGTTTAAGGGATTTAGGGTTTTAGGGCTTTCAGGGTTTAGGGGTTCTAGGGTTTTAGGGCTTTCAGGGTGTGCAGGGTTTAGCGTTTAGGGCCTTCATGAAGGCCTTTTATGTGTTGTAGGGCTTTATGTGTTAGGGCATAGGGTGTCCTGTGTATAGAGTTCGTCATGACGGCTTACATTTTAGGGATCACGGTGTATTTAGGGCCCTTTGACCCTACTCTAACCGAAGTTACGTATAGGGCTATTAAACCGTGCAGACTTCACGAAGTGTCATTGCTCTTCCCCACAACATTGACCTGTAGTTATCCCAAACTCGTTTAGGTTTGGCTGAGGGTTTAGATTGGCTTATGGCTTTCTGTAAGGGTGCTCTAAGGTTCCGAAGCCGCAACCCTCGAAGCCACAAAGACCCCAAAGCCCTAGTCGTGAAGCCTTCAGCCCTGAAACCCAGGCCTGCATGCACGAAATAATCAAGCCCCCACCCTTATGAACCTTAAAACCCCGAGCAAGCTGTAGAACTCACTGCTTCCTCTCATGGTGTTCGTGGGTCGATGTCAGTCTCGGAAGACAACCTGAAAGGACCTTTCAAAGAAGTTGGGGATACTCCCGGGCAACCTTGGAAATCGAAGGAGGCGCCAAAGCGCTGGCGGTACCAACGCCAAGCGCAGATAGGCTCAGGCAGTTTGGGTGCCGGGTTGAAGTAGGGGCTCGGGAGTTGCGGGTACAGCTCCTTATTATGATTTTCTTCTGTGGGTCCTAAAGACATGGCAGGTTTTGTGGGGTGTAATTATCTACCTTAACCTACCAAACCCTACTTTTTTTGTAGGGTCCCTTTTAATTCCATATTAGGGCTTATACTAAGAATCTACATCTACAAACAAGTAGGGTTTGGTAGTTTAAGGTACTCGTAGGGCTTCAGGAGTTTAGGGCTTAGAGGGATTCGGGTCGAGCTCTGATTGACGGTTCAATGAGGGTGACGGAGTTTGTTTCCTTTTCATCGGGCCTTCTAGGGCTTTTTCTCCGATAAGGACCTATGTAAGGAACCCTATCTCGGTACTAGTTTCCATTAGTTGATGTGTTTTCCGGCTTCTAATGGCTTCTACATCAGGGTTTTTATGGGCTTTCAACACATTCTTCGCACTACGTGCTCGCCATCGGTTTAGGGTTTAGGGTTTAGCCAGCATGGTCTCCTTCCCTTGTGGACTGCGAGTGAGTTCCATATAACGTGGCAGACTCCGTACGCAAAAGTGGTCTTTAGCCGGTTGTGAGGCGGGCTGAGCAGCGCCCATACTAAGTCTCTTGCGGGGTCCCCGGACAACGGCAAGCACAGGACGAGAACGAGGAGCAGCCCAAGCAGGCACAGGAGAAGCGGCCCAAGCAAGCTCAGCAGGATGTCGTTTTTGTCTTCGAGCTCCCATTCCGATAGCATCCGATAGCCAAGACAGCCCTCGGCAGCCAAAGGCACCGGGCTGAGCCGTGTGAGGAACCTGAAGCAGAACGACCTGCTCCGCCAAAGGCGCTACAAGAAAGCTGATGCGAATCAGCAGGAAGTAGGAGTAGGAGTAGTAGTAGTAGTAGTAGTAGTAGTAGTAGTAGTAGTAGTAGTAGTAGTAGTAGTAGTAGTAGTAGTAGTAGTAATAGTAGTAGTAGTAGTAGTAGTAGTAGGAGTAGTAGGAGTAGTAGGAGTAGTAGGAGTAGTAGGAGTAGCAGGAGTAGCAGTAGTAGTAGTAGTAGTAGTAGTAGTAGTAGGAGGTTCACAACGGCATTTTGCCCCTGTTTTGGGGTTGCAGGGTAGGGTTGCTGCGTCACAGGCCACAAGAACCCCAATCGATCCGATGGTTCGTGTCATTACTGTCCCGCAGCAAAGGCCATGTTCTAATACATCGAGGCCATGACCCATCCCTTTTAAACCCTAAGCCCCTAAACCCTAAACCCCTAAACCCTAACCCTAAACCCCCAAACCCTAAACCCTAAACCGAGACCCTAAACCAAGGCACCGGTTCTGGAGGGGCTTCCCCTTGGCAGGTCTTAGTTGGAAGAGATCCCCAAACCTGAAACCTAAACCCACGGGCAACCTTAAACCACAATAACCCTAATAGTCCCAAGCCCTAATACCAGTACGCCTAAACGTCCGAAACCCGAAACCCTAGTAAGCCTAGTAACCCGAAACCCTTAACACCCTAAAAGCCCTAAACTCGAACAGCTCCATCTGCCTGATCGATCGGCGGGTGGCTCTATCACCTCAGGGCCTTGAGGTGAGGATTGTGGATCTTGCGCTGGGAGTGTACGGTTTTGGGGTTTGAGAGGTTTGCTTGTTTGAGTAGCTTTCTCGTTTGTTTATCTTTTGTTGCCTGTTCTGTCTCTGTTTGCTGAACATTTTGTGTTCTGTCACCTTATACCTTCCTTGGGTCTCTGTGACCCGAGCCGGTATCCCTGCCGTTGACAAGTTCAACATCAGAAACCATGTTTTCTGGACACCAAACCCCTTGACAGAACAACGCCCGCAGCGTCCCAGTTTGCACTGCTTAAGTGTTCGAAAGACGTGCATCTTCAACCCCAAACTCACCGAATATTCACAGCCCAACACCCTCAACACTTTAAATCCTAAGCCTGAAACCCCATCTTAGTCGTCCGAGTCCTGGAAGGCCGAGCAGTGGACAAGGACGGCCCCAACGCATGTCCAGAGCGTGCCCAGCCGGCCGCGCAACCTCAAAGCATGGCTCACGCTTCGCGTTGGCGTCGGTCAGTTCATGTTGGGCGAGTCTGTGGGTGGCATGGTGCAGGACTCCCGCATATCACGGATCAAGGCCGTTGCCATCAATGCAAGTTCGCCAGCTTGCAGCCGTCTGCCTCAAGCCATCTGTACCGACCCTGGCATTTAGGAGTGCTGGGTGCAAGAGGAGGGAAATGCTGGACGAACGGAGGCCTGCTGTTAGCTTGTAGAGCTGAGCTTGGAGACTGCCAAACCCCTGTTTGTCTCACTTGGGGGGTGGGGGGTCGGGACATGGAACACATCTAGGGAGGTGTGTGAATAGCCATTAGTTTTGGTGACAATTTCGACATGGTCTATCCGACATCCCGGAGTACACTGGCCTGCACCACTGCACGCTAGACTCTGGTCCATGATCGGACTAGGGCACCGCACCCTCTGCAGGTGTCTCAGTGTTGGAGTCGCTTCCTGGAGTGTGTACCACGACCAACTCTTTCAGGAAGCACGGGAGGAAGTAGTCATCAGGCACTATTCTTTTGCTTTGTTTCTTCCCCCCACTACCACTTCTTCTTCTTTAGTAGTAGTACTAGTAGTAGCAGTAGTAGTAGCAGTAGCAGTAGTAGTAGTAGTAGTAGTAGTAGTAGTAGTAGTAGTAGTAGTAGTAGTAGGCACCCCCCCACCAACTACACTTGCTCTTAACCCTGTTAAGACAACATCCATTTATTCGGTATCTACGGCACTGTCGTCATGTGCGATCATCACAAGAGGCCTCAAAATCGACTTGTCGAGTTTACAAACTCGGGCTCTTGATTGTGGACTTGCTTCTGGCGGGGGGGTGGGGGGGATGATGACGACAGTGTTACGGGAACACACCAAACCGTATCACCACAAGAGCCGTTTTTCTTGGTATTTATGGTATTTTCGTGATGTCGGACTTTGTTATGTATTTTGAGCCCCTACTTCTCGTCTGTGCGTATTAAACTTTCCTGTTTCGAACTGCTTGCAAACAAACTCGAATTTGGTTGGCAGCACCTGCGTTTTGCACGGTAGTTTGCAGCTCCAGCTGCTGTCGCAGTCTGATTGGAAGTCAAGCTTTCTTGAGCCTTGAGCAGCTCTCCAGTCTCCGCAGCTGTTTCAGCTCAACGAAACTTTGCGTCGTCGAGCCTTCGCACCCATGTTTTTCGACTACGAAGAGCTGGAGAGGCGGCTCGCGACCGAGGTGGGGTTTCTTATTGTCGTGCTCATCGTCATCACCGTCGTGACCTCCTCCTCCTCCTCCTCCGCCTCCTCCTCCTCCGCCTCCTCCAAGCAGAGTCATGCTAATGTTCTCACGTTGTTGATTGTCACGGTTGGTGGAGTTTGTGATCTCCTGCGCACCAGAGAATTTGCAGGAGTCGCACCAGTATTTCGATTGGGAGCTCCTTGAAACGCAGCTCATGCAGGCGACGCGATAGTCTGGACCCACAGGCGCTATAAGGCTTTGAAGCCCGCACTCTTTTGACCGCTTCAATTCGTGAAGCTGCGTTGAGCAAGGAGGCCGACGAGCAGTTGGACGACCTGAGTTGCATCGGTCCCAGCGCGTTGGCACATTCGAGCAGCACGCAGGCACATCTTGTGTTTTTTGCTTCCCGAAGCGTGCAATCATCGCATAAGTCCTGGTACTAAACTTACTGAACCAAAGATGGCCCAGGTTGGCCGAGATGGAGGATCGTCTCGACAAAGAGCTGCTCGAGCGCATCTTGTGCTCTGTCATCAGTGTGCGCCTGTGGTGAGCCTGCCCAGGCGAGACGACGATCTGTTCAACCTTCAGACGTTCGGCGAGGACTGCAGTTGGTCCTTCGAGGAGGCCTCACTCCTGGAGGTGGAAGGATTGTCCGGTCAGTGGTGAGCCCCTCCTCCGACCAGGCACTGCGCGCCAATCAATGGCTGGGTGGTGGCTGCAGCCTTGATGTAGGAGACGTGCGGCCCATGTGCGTTAGGTTCGGGTGGGGCCAATGGAGGGAAGGCGGAGGGGGGAGATCTCGAGTTTGTAGCGGCGCATCCCGTCAACACCTGTATCAGAATTTGTGTTTACAAGTAAAAACACCCACCAGACCAAACCAACAATCCTTAAAGACCAGTGTACCTCCAAGACCCACGCCGTCCAGCCCAATACCCCAAAAAGCTCAAACTCAAGAAACTCGAGGAGGCCAGCCAAACAACAAGACCGAACTCCAGATCTTGTAAGGACTAAACTTACTAAACCCTCAAAGCCCAATATCTAAAACGGCCCTTAACCCTATCAGGCCTAAACGGGAGTTTCCGAAAATGGGAGACCCTAAATAGTACCCTAAGTAGGATCCTTATTCTGAGGACCCCCGGTACCCCTTCGTTTCGGAAACCCTAAACCCATATAGAGCCCTTCAAAGGTACCCTTATAGTAGCCCTTTAACGGAACCCTAAGGTACCCCTAATTTTCGGAAACTCCCAAACCATCCAAATCTACGTAAAAGGCACCTTCGGGAAAGTTTTCCTGGCGGAGCAGTCTGAAGCTTCTTGCTTAGACTTCTCGGTAGCTGTTCAGGGTTTATAGGCTTAGGGCTTTGGGTGCTTTAACCTTGGGGGAGTTGTCTAGGGTTCATAAGGTTTAGGTTTTGGGTGCTGTAACCTTAGGAGATCTGTTTAGGGTTTAGAAGGTTTAGGGTGCAGGGTTTATAAGGTTTAGGGTTTGGGGAGCTTTAACTTTAGGGGAGCTGTTTAGCGTTTATGAGGTTGAGGGTACAGGGTTTAGGGTAATCTTATTGATCCCTTTTGCAACAGTTAGGGCTTACAAGGTTTAGGGTTTAGGGGACTTTATTGATCCATTTTGCTTTTTGTGGCTGGAGTTTCAGAATAACTGTTGCAGAACAGGCAGCCCAAAACCCTCAATCCGAAACCCTGACTACCCCCCCAACTAAATGAAACTTGAAACCCTAAAGGCTAACTCAACGAACCCCCTCAACCCTTAACCCCAACCTGAACACTGACCTCAATAGCCCACCACCCAGACCCCAATAGCGCTAAGCCCTAACCCCAAATACCCCTCAACCCAAATGCCAATAACTCTAAACCCTTCCCAATAACCCCTCAACCCCAAATCCCAGTAGCACCAGACCCAATATCCCCAATGGCCCTGCACCCCGAATCCGAATAACCCATAACCCCAGTAACCTTAAACCCTAAACCCAAGAACCCTAAACCCCTGCATGACCCATAATAAGGAATATACCATAATTCCCATAGTTCAGGGTCCTTACGGTAATGCAGGATGTTTATCATCCTCCGTACCCATATGACCAAGGCTTCCTCGGGGGAGGCTGCAGCACGAAAGGTGCGGCCTTCTTGGGTCTGAAATCTCTTTGAATCGCTTACTAGAAAAGAGGCTTGAGGATTGAGGGTTGAAGGGTTTCGGGTTTAGGGTTTAGGGTTTGGGGTTTAAGGTTCTTGTGTTCGGATTTAGGGCGTATAACTGTTTTTGGTAGAGAGGCTTTGAGGTATTGGGTCTTCAGGAGGCTTCTTGTCGGATTTCTCAGGGGTTAGTGGCTTACGGTGTTTCTGGGGGTTGAGTCATCAGTTATGGGGGTTGCATGGGTCTTGATTAAGGCTTTGAAGCGTCTGATATCAGGGCTGTATATAGGCTTCATGTCGCTGTAAGGGTGCTCGTGCGTGTGTGTGTGTGTGTGTGTGTGTGTGTGTGTGTGTGTGTGTGTGTGTGTGTGTGTGTGTGTGTGTGTGTGTGTGTGTGTGCGTGCGCGTTGCAAACGGTCCTAGCTACCTTTGTGGTATACGGTATACTTTCCCAAATTATATTTGTAATGCTTACTATAGAAATCCTAGTACTTTTCTATGATATAGGTACTTAGGACCCTGTGGGTGTTGTAGAGTTTTGTCAAAGAGTTGTGTAGTTGGTGTATTCAACGCTGTAGATGTACACCACTGTCTTTACACGTATACGTTCTTCTTGTTCTACGAGCTTCAATATTGGAATCACTACTACAACCCTTCTTGCTGGGAGAGGCGTTTGTTAATGACCTTGGGGATTTGTTGAGGCTCCATGGGTCAAGCAACTGCAGGGTTCAAGGGTTTCGCAGTGGAGAGCCAGCTGAGGAGGCGAGCTTGCCCACGCTACCACAATTCGGATTCTTAGCGTTGTTTGGGTCTGGGTCGGCTTTGATAAAAGGTCAATCCCGAGCCCCCAAAGACTACACCCCTGACGCTTAGGTTGAGCTCCACCGTTTGTGGGCTTTGGGGCCAAGGGTAGGCGAGCATTCGACCCCTAACATTGAGGCAGGTGAGACATGCTGGTTGTGGCAGTCGACACATTGAGGGTGTCGTAGCAGACAACTCCGACGCATAACAGAAATCCGGAATCGGCCATGTCCGAAAGATGAGAAAGACCACAAGGGTGCGGAATGCTACATCCTTCGCTACAGATCGGCGGGCGAGAGTTGTGGGTGTGCTGCTGGTGGTGAATCTGGTCCAGCTACTTCTTTGTGATCTGCAACCCTTTGCCTTGCCAACCGGTACGATGTCCACCGACCCCCACTCTATTACCATGCTCAGCAATCACAGGCTTCGGTGATTCTTATTATGGCTTAACTTGGTGTAGGTCTCAGAAACTCTACGTAGGCATGGGTTCCGTGTGGTGCTGTATTGTATATCGGCGGGTCCAACCTTAGTGCTCGTCGTCTTCCTGCTGTGAGGTCCGGTACTCTCTGCGATGTTCATCTTTTGTCTGCACTGCAAGATTTACGTCTCATGTCTGCCTCCCAAACCGCGAAGCCATGAGAAGGCCCCTTCCAAAAAACATAACCACTCCCCAGAATCCTGGAAGTCTCTCTGAAAGCCCGCCGGCAGGTGGCCATCAAAGAGGTGGCATACCAAAATCACAAGACGAGGGAGATCAACCTCCTGAAAAGCATCACGCACTCTTGCGTCGTTTCTCTGCTTGACAGCGACCTGGCGTCAAGTCAGCAATTCTGATTCCGACGGATAGTTCTTGCGGCCCCAGTACAACGAAACTACGGTGCTTAATTAGGAACATGTAATCATACTTGTCTTTTATTTCCTAAACCCTATAACACTAAGCCCTAAACCATGGAAAGAACCTAACCCCCCCCTCAAAAAAATGCTGCCTCCTCTCTCAGGCTTCGTCGAACCTGGCGAAGGCGACGCCAAAGTTCTGTGCCGCTTGCCTAAGCTTTCCATACAAGTTTTGGGGTGAAGTGGTGAGCATTTAAAGTGGAGGGTCTTGGGTTTTCGGATTTTCTGGTCGAGGGTTTACGATATGCATTGCGTTTGCGGATGCATCTGGTGTATAGGCTCTATAGGGCTTATAGGCGTTCTCGCATAGGGCTCACAGGGGAGGGTACAGGGTTTAGGAATCGTGTTCTCGTTTGTTTTCGGTTAAGGTTACACAGCATGTGTCAGTGTGGTTGTTTCTGTGTTTGTTTGCTTGACTGCTTGTTGGTTTGTCAGTTGTTGTTCCAGTCCTGTTCTCATAGTAATTCCTTTTTGGGGTTCATATTTAGAATCCTATGAGGTACTCCCCAAAAGCAACTACTATGGATCCTCTGGGTAGGGCTTCAAACAGCCGCAGTGGAGACCCCAAGCGCTGAACCCTGGACAGCCGAAGCCTTCGTCCTCAAACATACGATTTTTCCACACCCTCAAAACCTCCCCGTCTAAAGCCTTCACGGCATGAGAGTTTCCGAGCATAGGGGACCCTATTGCAGTACCCTGAATAGTAGGATCCTTATTACATGGACCCCAAAGCAAGGTACCCCGAATTTTCGGAAACTCCCACATCGGTCCAAAGCACCTCACTACTATTCCTAAACCTTAAACCGACACCATACACCCTGTTTGAAGCCCTACCCAGAGGATCCTTAGTAGTTCCTTTTGGGGAGTACCTTATAGGATTCTAAATATGGACCCCAAAAAGGAAGTACTATGGCGCCGTAAGGTGCACCCTAAACCCCAAACCCTAAACCCAAACGCGCCCCACCGAGTTCAGCCTCAGCCAAGGCATGGTTTTGGAATACTTGCCCCAGAACCTTCATCAGAAGATCGGCCGCTTTCCGCTCATGGCTCCGGGATGAGTTGTGGACTTAGGTCTCGGATTTCAATTCCCCTAAACCCTAAACCCTAAACCCCTAAACCCTAAACCCCAAGTTGGGGTTTAGGGTTTAGGGCTCATGGTCTGGTTCATGGGTGAATCACAGGGATCGGCAGGTGGGATGAAGGTAGGTGGGGTGAGCCCAAGTAAAGGTCACTAAGAAAGCTTACCTTCATCCGATTTTTGTTAGGCCTCTAAGTTAATCCTGACTTGGGCTTCAGCAAGTTTGGACTTAGGGAGGTAAGGCTTTTTCATTCTAGGTCGAAAGGTAATACCCTGACTCATGTGACAGCTGACCAAATTGAGAAGGGCTTGAACCGTAAACTTTGTAATACCGTGCTCTAAGGCCGTAAACCCGGAATGTTTACACCCTCTACCCCTAATCCTCAAACCGTCAATGCTTTAAATCCCAAATCCCGAAAATCAAACGCAAGCCATGCCTAATAACAGTACCTAAACCCCCAAAAGTAGGTAAAATTATGGCCCAAAACCCATAAAGGGCTATTATTCTACATACTTTTGGGGTCCAGGTATTCTCCAGACCACGAATCTACGCACAAATGCCTCAGCTCGGCCTTCACAAGCCCACATTCAACTCGAAATGCCTGAACACCCCTATTCCCCAAAATTTGATCCCGAGATGCCCCAACCCTAAATGTAGAGCCTTAATAATTACCCATACTATTGTGGGTGTTCGCTGTCATAAGTATAGTACAACGGGCCCCAGAAGCCTATTCCAATTATTAAGGCCCTTAAATCATAGAGCCCTGATAGTCTCCCTTCTAATAGCCCTCATAGACCCCTTGAAAGGGAACCCTCATTCTAGAGTATATAATCATTAAGGCCCCTATATTAACAGCCAAACGATCTCTCGAACATGCGGAAAAGAGGTGGGGAGCCGCTGTGCCACGCGTCGGCACTTTATCTCTGCAGTCAAAACCCACAGAAATATCTTTGGAGTTGGCGCTTACAGGTTGTCAGGGAGTTTGTGGGGGCGTTTAGAGGGGATGTCTGAATGTTTGCTAGTAGATGGTCGGGATTTAGGTTAGTTGAATCTGGTTGGGGTGTTGGCGTCGAGCCCAACGCACTCAATTAAGTCAAATCCCGTGCTCCGGAAGCCCCCGCAAAATCAGGGTTGACGATTTAGGGTTTAGGGTTTCGGTTGAATCCAAGGGGAGAAGGAGGGACCCTCAATGGGGACCCCTACCCTATAATGGGCTATATAATGGGTATAGCTATATTAAGGGTATATACCTAGGGGTCCTTAAGGGTCCCTCCTTTGACCCTTCCATTGAAGGCCCAGAGTTTCGTCTTTGCCTCGTGGTGGGGCCCAAAGTTCGGGGCTTCGGGCTTACCTGGACCCCAAAAGTATAGGGACGTTTAGGGTTTAGGGTTTAGGGTTTAGGGTTTAGGGTTTAGGGTTTAGGGTTTAGGGTTTAGGGTTTAGGGTTTAGGGTTTAGGGTTTAGGGTTTAGGGTTTAGGGTTTAGGGTTTAGGGTTTAGGGTCCAGGTCTGGCGGGTGTTTTTAGGGCGGGTCAAGGGGTCTAGGGTGTGGGGTTTATAAGCACAAGGATCTTCCAAAGTTCTCAGACTTCCCATGGGCTGCTGGCCGTTAAGCTGCCCCGAGTATGAGATATAGGGGAGTGAAGAATCAGTGATTGTATAATGTTGTTGTTTTCCGAATCTATTGTTGTAAGATACTGGTACTAGAACCCTAAACCCTAAACCCTAAACCCTAAACCCTAAACTCTAAACCCCGGCACACCTGCTGCAATTTTTCAGGCATCCTCGTATTCGGGTTTCTTTGCGTCTTAGATGTCCCCGAAAACCCCAGCCCGAAGCCTCGATCTAGGTTTAGGGTTTAGGGTTTAGGGTTTAGGGTTTAGGGTTTAGGGTTTAGGGTTTAGGGTTTAGGGTTTAGGGTTTAGGGTTTAGGGTTTGGGGTTTAGGGTTTAGGGTTTAGGGTTTGGGGTTTAGGGTTTAGGGTGCAGGATCGCGGTTGTCGTGACGATGAGGGTTTAGGGCTGGGGTAGTAGTGGTTGGAACTTCGGCTTAAGGTTGGAGTGTGCCGCTTATCGTTGAAGTGTAGAGTTGGGGTTGAAGCATTAGTTTAAGCTTCTGGTTTAAGCGGTGGCTTTATGGTTCAAGCTCACGATTCAGATGGATTTAGGGTGCAAGTTTTGGTTTGAAGTAGTGTGTAGGTTTGTAGATAGGCTCGTTGCAGTCGGGTTATGTTTGTAGTACCTACGTTTCAACCGTTTGCCTTGGTTCAGGGTGTGTAGACCAGATCCTACGTGAGAGTTGTGTGGGGTTGCCGGATTCGTTTCTGCAACCTATACTAGCGTATTTTCAAGTTTCTTATAGTATTGTAATATATGGGAGTTTCCGAAAATTAGGGGTACCTTATGTTGGGGTCCTTATAATCAGGATCCTACTATTCAGGGTGCTATGGTAGGGTCCCTGATCTTTGGAAACCCCCATATGCTCAAGCTAAACTCTCAACTGCAAATCGTTCGCTGTGCTGTCAGACGCCTTGGAGTCTGGACCCAACGGTTGAAGGAAGGCACGTCACGTCGTTTATTCATTGCCAACAAGAGTTTCGTCAGGTAGCTCCACAGCCAACTGAACCATGGCACTTGATATGAACATGCTATGTCCATCTTCATAGACAGCTGCAGCACAATCCGAACAGAGTCTACGGTCACACGTCACTCTCCCTGCACCGCAAGAAAACATTGAAGCCTAAATCGTAAAGCCTACATCCTAAACCCTGGCCCCGTAAAGCCTCAATCCTCCCTCACAGCCTTACACTGTCGGAGTCCCAGAAGCCATACAGTGGCAAGGTGTCGAGCTTCTCCCTCCGTTCTGTGAGCAGATCCCACGATTGAAACATGATGCCTTTCTTCCCCTGAACATGACTCTGAAAAAACCCTACACCGTAAACCAGTAAACCCTCAAGCCTAGACCCTCAGGTGTCGAGGATGTTCGCTGTTTTTCGTTCCAACTCCTTCGGGCGCTGGCACACTTAGCCGCCTGGACCCAGTCCACTACTAGGACCTAGAGTAGGCCCTTGTTCCCTTTTTTAGGATTCAGGTTCCCTTATAAGCCCCTTTAAACCAAAAAGGGCACCCTTTTCATTCCTAGGTTACTCTTGGGTCTAGACTACTGTGTTTGCTTTTGGGGTTTAGGGTTTTCGGGGCCCTTGAGGTTTAGGCAGGGCTTGGGGCCTCTGTGGTTTCGGGTTTTGCATGGTAAACCATACTTGTGCTGCGAAATTGCGGAGTTTGGGATTTTTGCTGCTTTTATTGTTGGTAGGTGGCGAGGGTTTCGGGTCTTGGGTTTATGAAGCCGGGACCGCAATACTCAAAGCAGAGTGTGAGATTTCATACCAATCGTACAGTACACTACATGACACTGCATTGATTAGTTGCACAACATTACACGCATTACTCGAGATTACACGACGTCACATTACCGGACACGTAGAAATAACATAGACGACAGTTACGTTACATTGCAGTATACGAAATTATATAACCTACATACATACATTCATACATACATAAGACATACGTACATACATACATGCATACAGTCATACATACATACACACATGTACAGACACACATACCTACATACATAGATACCTACACACATATGTATATGCACATACCTGCATACAAGCACGCAGACATACATACATTACCTACATACATCCATACATGCATACATACAGGCCCGCCTTACACACCTTACCTTGTGTCTGTACATGTATGTGTATACGGTACTCAGCCCACCTCCAAACAGGGCTGGGCCTAGGCTTTTCTGGGGAGCTCAAAGTCCTCCAGGGTTCAGGCTTTGCAGCTCTGAAGCAAGGTTGTTACCTGGACCCCAGATTTATGTAGAATAATGGCCTTTTTATGTGGCTTGGGCCATTATTTTACCTACTTTGGGGGGGTTAGGTAGTTCATGAGTTGAGGTATCTTCTTCAAGGGCTGGATCAGATCAGAGGACACTTTTTATTCTCCTTATACAGGTGGGAAAACCCTGTCAGACTCTGAACCTAAACCCCGACCCCTAAAGCCTCATCCCAAACACTTCTGTTTCGATCTCACCAAGGATGGAACACGCATCGTCCATCGCGATCTGAAGCCTGTCGCTCGGGCACTGTAGCAGTAAGGTAAAAGCCAAAAAGTTGGAATATGATTATCCTAACCCTTCTATGGTAAATTACAGGGTATCCTACCATGAAACCATATTCCAACTTTCTGGAGTTCCCTGTAAAGCCTAAGCCCTAAACTCTATTGGGTGTTGAGCTGCCCTTGCCTTGCGACCTGAAGATTCAAGCCCGAGAACCAATACCATACACGCCCTAAGCCCACCACTGTGTTTACAACAGAAGACCTAGGACCCAGAGTAGGCCCTTATTCCCTTTTTTAAGGTTCAGGTTCCCTTATAAGCCCCTTTAAACCAAAAAGGGCATCCTTTTTATGCCTGGGTTACTCTTGGGTCTAGAGACGATAGAACACAAAAGCCAACCCGGCAGCAAAGGCACCTAAGGCCCTTCAAACCCTAAACTATAACATACACACAAAACCCTTATAGACCCTAAACCCTAAACCCTAACCTAAACCCTAAACCCTAAACCCTTAACCCTTAACCCTTATAAACCCTAAACCCTATCGACCCTGTCCCCAAAGTAAGGAGAACATCCTGCTCGATCCGGGCTCCCGTGCGGTCCGAGTTGCTGACTTCGGTTCGGCCAAGGCGCCACCCAAGATGCTCTTTTTGGGGTTTTGAGGGTTCAAAAGCCTAAACCCTAAACTCAAAGCCGCTAGTGAACGAAGACCGCATCGCGCGTCGACTTTCGACCCTAGCCAATCCGGAAGAAGAAGAAGAAGAAACTCAAAAACGCGTTCTTTTTTGGGGTTGTCGGGGTTGCAGGGTCCAGGGTCTTGCGGGCTTTATCAGGCTCAGAACTTGCAGGGCTGTGCTTAGTTTCGGGGTTTTTGGATCAGGCTGTATCCGCCCCCGGATGTTCTGGCTCGGGATTTGGGCCTCTCCGCCCCTTGGTCTTGCGAGGGCCCTTGTGCTGCCGGCATGATGTGGGGCATCGGATCTTTCGTAGTCTGGTAGGTCTCGCGGGCTGTTGCTAGGTGCACTCCCGCTGTACAGTTGGTCGCCGGCGTTACAGCAACGCCCACCCTTTTATGCATAAGACGCTCAGGATCCTAGCGTGCATGAGTGAGTGAGTGAGTGAGTGAGTGTGGGGATTTTGTGCACCCAAACCCTAAGCCCCAGACCATCTGCCGGTTGCATAGATGTCAGGGACACCTTGAGATCTTTATCTCTGAGACTGGAGCATGGGTTCAGAGTTCGGGGCTATGGCTTAAGGATGATAGTAGGATTTCGGGTTCAGGGACAGCGTTTTCCTTTAAATGCCAGACAGGGTGCCAACTCGGGTTTATGAAACATCCACAAGAACTAGGTTATGACAGTTCCTTTTGCTGAGGTCTCTTTTAGGATTGCGGGATCTGGAACTACAAAAACGTAGGCTATGATTCTATGATAGTTGTAGATAGGGTTTAGGGTTTTGGGGTTTAGGGGTTACGGGGTTCTACATCGCTGCTGCCGCACAGGTTCTGGATGGCGAGCCTTCCAGCAGCTTTCGGTCTGCATCGGAAGTCGTGACGGGCTTCATGGGTTCCTTTAAGGGTTCCCTTTAAGGTACAGCGACAGTTTAAGGTTTTTGGTGCAGAGGTTTGTGTGTTAGAGCTACTTTTTGGGGTTTAGGGTTCAGAGCTATGGTTTGGCGTTTGGGATTCATACAAGGTCTGGAGTGCCAGTCGGACTCGCACTGCCCAGCCATCCGTCGCAACATGGGAGAGCCTTACACAACCTCCGTGCGCTCACCAAGGAGCCCTAAACCCTAAAATCCAGTATAAACCCCACAGGAGCGTAGCTGGCAGAATCAGCGTGGTAGAAGGTGCGTCAAAGCCCCATTCCATTTGTTAAGGCCCGATGCCTCACCGAAACCCGGCCTGTGAGAAGCTGGTTTTACATCTTGATGAACAGACCAAACAGACCCCTAAAGCCTTACAAAGACGTCGGCAAGCTCGCACCATAAGGGTTCCAGAGAAACCTGCAGCAACCACTCACTCTAAATCCTGCACCCTAAAGCCATCAATGCTAAAATGTGAAGCCCAACCCGAAATGACAAGATAAAGCCCGAAACCACCAAGCAGCAAAAGGCCCCCAACACTCAAAGGGGAAAAGGAGGGACCCTTAATGGGGACCCCTACCCTGTAGTGGGCTATATAATGGGTATATCATGGCTATATTAAGGGTATATACCTAGGGGTCCGTATTAGGGGTCCCTCCTTCTACCCTTGGAAACACGAAAAAGCCACAGACTTTGAGGCTTTGGAGTCTGGTTTTCACAATGCCTTGCACTACAAAAAGCTTGTCCTCAACCCCAACCCTGCTTTAGAATGTTCATAAGGACCAACAACACAATAAACGCCTGGTCTAGCTATAAAGGGCCGTTTATACCAAGCTCATATGGGAGTTTCCGAAAATAGGGGACCCTAATATGGTACCCTGAATAGTAGGATCCTTATTATAAGGACCCCCAAAAGGGGTACCCCTAATTTTCGAAAACTCCCATATGGCAGCCCTTACCAGGCAAACTGAACCCGAAGCCCATAGCAGCCCTCATAGTAACTCTTACAGGAGCTCTCACCGTGCCCCTTCAAGGAGCTCTCAAAGTAATCCGTTTAGGGTTTAGGGGTTTAGGGGTTTAGGGCTTAGGGGAGAAGGACCCATTATAGCAAGTTACAGGAACCCAGCGCAAGAAAACAGTGGCCCAGGTTACATTTGCTCCCGGTGGTGGCGAGCACCCGAGCTGATATTCGGGGCATCCCGCTATGGCACCAGCGTCGAGCCTTTGCTTTTTTAAGCAACAAGAAAAATCACTTGTTTAGCGTGTTTTGCTTGTTCTGTTCATGCGTGTGAGAGTGTGTTTTTTCTATGGTGTTGAGTTTCTTGTGCTCCGGGTGTAGAGGTGCTGTCTCAAGGTTCACTTACGCCTCTGCTAAAAGAGGAGAGAGGCAGAACTATCGTTGTCAGCGTGTTCCTTCGTGAAGCGCTGTGGCTGAGTGTTTGGAAAGCTCAAGCGACCTATACATTCTCTAGCTTCAACATCAAACATCCAGTCTCAAGCTATGGGCTACAGATTGGGTGTGTGTGGGCGAGCGATGCGGGGTTGATATATAGAGGCCTGCAAATACTTCCCCCTAGACCCTATGTGACTAATTGGCCATAATTTTGCTATGTTATGCTTCCGAATCCCGCTAGCCCCAAAACCCTCGGCCTTGAACGCCTGACTCAAGGGCCTCAGCTTGGTAGTGCGTCGTTCGGAAGAGGAACTACGCCCGCCTCCTCAGCACTTAAATAAATAATAGTTCTTGAAATAGCGGTATGAACAATCGTATTAACAATAACACTGGCACGACTAACAATATAAGTATACATCATATTTGTAACATGCGGTGGGCGGCGGAAGACTGATTATTATGCTTTTCCTCAGGGCCCCTCCTATAGTTCTGGCATGGTATGCCCAGTTTGAGCAAGACTTAGAGACTTACCCTGAAGCTAAATCCAGGAACACCTTAAACCCGAAGAACCATGAACCCTGAACGAACAAAACTCTATATACACGCTATAAACCCAGGCCCTAGACATCCGCATAAAGACCCTGTTAACGAAACCCATAAGAGGAATCCTCTTCAGAGTTGTAAGGCCTTGGCTGATGTCCTATAGTAAACCTCTAATCGAAATCCTTCATAGAAACTCTTTTAAGAGATTTTTAACATTTATAGGAACCCTCAAAAGGAACCCTCAAGAGAAACCGTTTGAAGGAGCCCTTATAGGAAGCCCGTGAGGACTGGTGGTCCTGCGGCTGCATCACAGCCGAGATGATGCTTGGGCGTCCTCTCTTCACTGGCGAGTCAAGTTGGGGGCAGATGTACGCCGCTCTTCCTGGTCTTAACCTGGGTCTGGGGGTTTAGGATCTACGATTCAGGGTATAAGGCGTTAGGTTGGGGGCAGATACAGGCCAAAGGGCTTCGGGCTAGTAGTTTAGTTTATTTCCACAGGTTCTGGAAGAAGTGGTAGCTGAGAAGATAAGCTTGGCCTACACGATTGGCATCCTCTCCGACCCAGGAAATAGCCGTCAGGGTCCGTGTAGTCACGCAAAACAAAAACAACATGTATGTAGGTATAAATAAATAAATAATATATATATATATATATATATATATATATATATATATATAAATATTATATTATATGCAGATATGTATATAGGATCGGAGTTTACAATTTTGGAGCCCTTTTTAGACGAATATGTATTTGCTAGCGTACCCTGATGGTTAAACCCTCGGTTCCGGAGGTGAGGTGAGGCACATATAGCTTAGGGTTGAGGGTATACTTCGTAGTGAAACTGGTATAACCCGCTAAACACATGTTTTTGTAGCCTGCATACAGAGTTTCCAAGAAAGGTGGCCCAACACCAGACGCCGTGAAGCTTAAACATGAGATCATGCGTTTCTGTGCCACACAGCTACTGTGTAGGATTTGAAGCTGCTGACTTACAAGGAGCAAGACTTCCAGATGAGATCATGACACGAACTTTGGCTTTTGTTGCAGTCCTCTGTGGTCTCGCCGAGATGCTAAGCTTTAGGCACGAAGCGGATTTACGGGGTAAAGTTTCGCGCCGAAATTGACGTTGTGGCATGTCGGACCTACCCAAAGCGACATAAACTCCCTATCAAGCCAACCGACAGTTCCTAACCCCAGGTACCTAAGCGTTAGGTACAGAGAAGATGTAGGAAGTCGTGCAATACTCCAAACTCTACACCCATGTTGAACCCCCAGCCGCTGCTATGGGGATATGAACTCCCGGGTGCTTCGAGAACCCCACGATTACCAAATGCGTCCTGATGATCCAACAGCCTGCTGTTTCAGGGATATACCCTAATGTAGATTAAGAAACCCTGGGCCCATGTAAGGAACCCTAATAAAGGCCCAAGGTTTCTTAATCAGGTTCCTACATTAGACATATTCTGCCATAACCTACCTAAGGATTTTGGGCTAAGTGCAGGTAAACACTGAGACCTGCAACGTACGCTCCGAAAGCTCTGAGTCTGAACACCACAGTCCTGAGACCTTAAGCCTTAAACCTTAGATTTTTCATTGCTATCTTTATGGTAGTATGATATGTATATATATATATATATGCACACACACACACCCAAAACCTCAGTCTAGCGAATTACTAAGGCCCCCACATTAGGCTGATAGTTGCGAGGAGATCGTGCGAGCCTTGGGCACCCCGACGTTGGAGGAGGTCGAAGCCATGCAGGCGAGAAGCGCGGTCGGTTTGGGGATTGGGGGTTTCCCCTAAACCCTAAACCCGGGTTTATGGTCTAGGGTGCGATCGGTTTAGGGATTAGGGCCGGATCAGGGTTTTCGGGTTTAGGGATTCGGAGTTGCACCAATACGATTAGGGTTAATCTCCAGCCCACCCTAAGTACTAAGACCCGTGATCCCTCAAGTAAGCCCTATAAACCATAACCTGTAAACCGTCAGCGAGATAATGCGACAAGAAATCCATGCACTAGTTGCGAACGCCTCAAGCAATTCGCATAAGACCCCTGATGCAAGGGTTTACAGTTCAGACTTCGGGGATTAGGGTTTACCCAGGGTTGAGGGTTAACCCTACAGAGCTACTAACCCCAGAAACCCTAGACCCTGAACCCTAAATCCTCCTTGAACCACATGTGCACCCATAAGTCAATGAGCTCGAGTACATGGGCTACCCACTTCGGATCTTCGATGACTACATGCTTCTGTTCGATGCTGACTACATGGATGGGTCTCACCTGCGTGTACCTGTAAAGGCAGACCTAGGTCGCAGACTCTGGTCATCACGCATTAAAAAAAAGAACCCCAATCCCTGAATCCCTAAACCCCTAAACCCTAGACCCTGCACCCTCAACCCCAAACCCCTTTAAGACGAGTATCTATATTCTACCAATAGTAATACTAATCCTCAACCCCAAACCCCTAAACCCAAATCAAAGCTTCGAGGCCGGCGGTGATTGCCGACTGGCCGGGCACTTTGCAAAGCTGGCGGAGCTCGAGCGACCTGCATCCGCCTGGGAGGAGCGGAATCCAAATATCAGTATATATATATATATATACATATACATATATAATTATCTATCTATCTATCTATCTATCTGTCTATATATACATATATATATATACACATTTTTTATTTCTTTGTTGTTTTAAGGGGGGGGGGTGTAGGGGTTTTGAATGAATGCGGTTTAGAACGGTGTTCTTTGATTTTACAGTGTTCTCGGGCTTTTGGAGGAGTTTTTCAAGTTTATCAAAGGATGTGTAAGGGTTTGACCGCGGTCTGGATAGTTGGGAATGAGGGCAGGGAGGTTTGCATGCTTGAAACATCAGACAAATCCGTTATTACCAATGGTGACACGATTGCCGAAACACAGCGCCACGTCAGCGGCATGCTTGAAATTTGGAGCATTGAATTTTCTTCTTGGGCAGGCATAAGTTTTTCAGTTGTTGTTGCACCCTCTTACCCGCCACAACCTCAAAGAGCACATGAGCCAAGCGGGTCGCTGCGAAGCCCCAAAACGTAGTAGCTTATTATTATGAGCTCATGCGCCTTTTAGCCTTGATACCCTCCTTAGTTTAGGCTTTTGGTCCACAGGCCAGCCCTTGATATGGCCCCGAATAGAAACTGTAACAGGGTGCATAATTCTATATAGCCCTGAATATAAACCCCTAATGTAAACTGTTAAGAGGGTGGGGACAGTATCCAACCAACGCACCAATCCCGATCCCTAATATGTGGACCTTATGAATTGGAATAGGGCTTGGGGGTATATTATGCCATTTTTATAATAAGGAGCCCCCAACACCAAATTCTAACTAGTAAGGCCCCTATATTATAGCACCCTTATGGTTCCCTTATAGTAATCCTTAGAGGCCCCTTTAAAGGAGCCCTGCTCTACTTCGTAAGGCCCCTACATTAAATGCCAAAAAGGCTTAGACAAAGTGTGATCTTCCGAGAGTTAGGGGTACCTTATCTTGGGGTCCTTATAATAAGGATCTATTATTTCTGGTACTGTATTAGGCTCCCCTGTTTTCGGAAACTCCGAAGTCGTCCCAGGAGCTCCTCCCGGCCTTCGCAGAGGAGCGTCAGGCACCGAAATTCAGGGCTTCCGAAAATTAGGGGTACCTCATTTGGGGGCCCCTTATAAAAAGGATCCTATTGTTTAGGGTACTACATTAGGGTCCCTACTTTTTCAGAAACTCCCGAAATTCAGGGCTTCAAACACACAGATTTCCTGCTATCCATCTATCCACCTATCCGTTTGTCCATGTACCTATCGATCAATCCACCGATGTATCGATCTGTCCATCTACCTATCTAACTATCTATCTGCGTCTAGCTGTGTATGCATCTATGCTTCTATCTATCTATCTATCTATCTGTTTTAATGGATCCACCTAGCTATGTTTCTATATATATATATATATGTACATGAATATATATATATATATATATATATATATATACATATATATATATATATATATATATATATATCAATCTAGCTATGTATGTATCCGTGTATCTATCTAGCTATCTATCTCCCGCTCTCTCTCTCTCTCTCTCTCTCTCTCTCTCTCTCTCTCCCTCCCTCTCTCTGTTACCAGCTATCTAGCTATGGATCTATCTGTCTACCTAGTTAGCTATGTATGTACCCAAGTACCTATGTATCTGAAGTACCTATGTATCTGTCTATCTAACTATCTATCCATCTATCCAACTTTTGATCTATCGATCTATTGATCCATCTATCTATCTATCTGTCTACCAAGGTGTCTGTCGATCGCCGTATGAGTATGATGTTATGTCCATCCATCCATCCATCCACCTATCCACCCACCCACCCAGCCATCCATCCATCCATGCATGCATGCCTACACACACACATCTATGGGTGTATATATATATATATATATATTCATACACACACATATATATATATAATATATTATATATATATGGGTTCTTGGATCCGAATGAGCTTCTGTCGTTTCTCTTGCAATAGCTTGCTGCCACTCTGCAGTTAAGGCTGAGTCGAGCTGCGCCTGTCCCTTAAGTGATACCAACACCAAGAAGCCCGTGATCCTGACCCGTTAAAAATCGTAAAGCCCTGTAGGCCTGAACCCCAAACCCCTAAACACCTTCAAGGAACCCTTATAAGATTCTGTTATAGATCCCTCAAAGGAACCCTTATAAGCTTCTGTGACAGATCCCTTCCCTTATAAGATTCTGTTATAGATCCCTCAAAGAAACCCTTGTCAGATTCTGCGACAGATCCCTCAAAGGAACCCTTATAAGATTCTGTCACAGATCCCTTAAAGGAACCCTTGTCAGATTCTGCCACAGATCCCTCAAAGGAACCCTTTTCAGATCCCTCGAAGGCTCCCCCTAGCAGAAGCCCGCAAGCCCTGAGTGAAATTAGGGATCCCTACCTTATTGGGGTTCTGTATAAGGGGGTTTATATGGGATATCGGACCTATCCAAATTTTTGCTTATGTGTTAGAAGCTGCCCCCCGCCCTGTAATTGTCGTATAATGGGAATATAATAGGGCCCGAATAGAATCCTTATAGTGACTATTACAGGGTGGGGGCAGCTTCTAACTTATGTGCTTTTTTGGGCCCCATAAGCATTTATATAGGGATATCCCTACCTTATTGGGGTTCTTTATAAGGGGGTTTACATACCCTAAACCCCAAACACTAAACCCTATCCAAATTTTTGTGCTTTTTTGGGCCCCGAGTGAAAGGCTCTCGAGCTCCCGGAGTCTCTGTTGAGCTTCGACCCGGCGAAGCGCTTGCATCCGGCGGTGGCCATGAGGTGCTAGAGACTCCTAGGGTTAGGGTTCCTTTAGGGTTCCTTTAAGGGATCTATAGGGTTTAGGGGACTCCAATACCCCTTAATTAAGGAATATATACCTTAAATTATAATGGGATCCTTAATATGATTTAAGGAATTCCTTAATTAAGGCGCGCGCGCCTAAAAAAAACTACCCTGAAGACAAAACCTACCCAGGAGCGGCCGAGGGAAGTGTACAAAAGTGTGGCAGAAGCAAAAACGGGACACGATTTCGTGTCCAGTTTTCTGGGCGCCCTAGGCGACCATCAGTGCTATCATCATCGATGTCAACATCGCTATCATCCTCACAGCCACCATCGATATCACCATCATCTTCATCATTCTCATCATCATCGTTATCATCATCGTCATCAATGTGTTGAGCAGTGGGCTTTTTGTGTGCTGGGAAAAGCCGGCCTGAGTTTATTCTCCGGACCTGGGCTGCAAAGCCAGTCTTACGGCAGAAGGTGAAAACACTGGTGGGGCCGATGACTTTGAAGGTCGCGGCAAGTTTGTTGAGGTTTGTGGGTGGAAAAGGTATGGGGCAAAAGGTCTTTGCACAGTCACCTTTGCCAGATCGCTAGGTCATCATCATTGCTACCACGATTGTTATCATCATCGTCATCATCATCGTTGTCATCATCGCCATCGCCATCGATATCATCGTGACCATCGTAATTTTCATAATCATCGTTGTCTTCCTCGTCGTCAACATTTCGAGCGGTAGTTTTTTTTAGGCGCGCAAGCCTTAATTAAGGAATATACCTTAAATTATAATAGGATCCTTAATATGATTTAAGGAAATATTCCTTAATTAAGGGATATTGGAATCTCTGAGGTCCGAGCTTGAGGGCTAAGTGGGTTTGGGCTGTGGGGCTGAGGATTTTAAGCTTTAGGCTTCAGGATTTAGGGCTAAGGGTTTAGGCTTGTTCGTGTTGAGAAGTTTGGGTTTAGGATTTTTAGGGGATTAGGACGCATGTAGGGGTTTAAGGCTTATAGGGCTTATGGTGTTGTTGTTCAGCTGGCTTTACATGGGTTTCACGGGATTTATCAGGCTTCTGGATGTATGCGGTTTAGGAATTCCAGTTTGGGCTTAAAGCGGGCGTTTCATTCATCCTAAAACATCACGTTGAACATTCAGTGTGCGCTATCCTTCAGCTGACCTTCAAACTGAGGGATGCCGCCCACCAGCAATCATCCGCCCCCAAACTCCCTAAACCCAAAACCCTAAACCACAAGAAGCCCCAATCTCCTGGCAGGAGCAGCTTTTTTCAGCACCTGGCTGATGATCCAAACCCGCTGCCGCCGAACCTCGTGGATTACAGCAGCTCAGCCGCCTTGGAGGGCCGAGGATGGGTGTTTAGGATTCGGGCCTAGGGCTTGGGGTTTAGGGTCAGGGGGAAAAAGTTTGAGCATGCAGGGGGTTCAGGATTAGGGCTCAGGGTCTAGATGTCGACTATGCAGGCCGTTTCAAATTCATCTGCAGTTTGCAGGCATTTCATGGATCCACGGCTCTTCCTTGCGAAGCAGATTCACTTGTCTCTGACGCCTAGCACGGTTCGGGGGGCGCTTGAACTCCGCACCTTCCTCGGTTTGCTTCAGGGTCGGTTTAGCTTCAGTCGCTGTTTTGCCTAAACTCGTACGAGAACCTATGTAGGCTTGCAAGCCTCAAAGTATCTTGTATATGTATGTTTGTATTGGTACGTATACAAAACCTCATCCAAACCCATAAACCCCGTCAATTATTGATGCCCTTCTTTACTGGCCTACGGTTTGTGTATCTTAGGTAATAAACCTCCATAAGCCCGAGCTATTCGTTATGAAGCACCTAATAAAGTTCTAAACGCCGTATTCCAACTAGCACTTGCAAACTGTAGGAGTCTTCTTGCATCAATGCCCACATGATCTGAGTAGCTCCCAAACAGCCGCTCCCCTAAAGTTTGCATGAGCAACACTTGAAGTCACAGCAGAGTAAACATCACAGACATGTTGCTCGTATGGTTTCGAAACAGCTCCAACCCCCCCTCCACATAGTTTAGCAACCTGTGAAGTAAACGACAGCTGGTTCGAATTAAAGCATATTGGCGAAGTTCGGCAGTGGCACATTCTGAAATTGCCTGCTCGGATAAGGTGGTATCGGCTAGACACCGTCACCTTCGAAAGAAAAGCCGAAGCCAATACGGTGACCCCTTGCACATGCCCAAAAGCCGTCATCCCCAAAGCATCGGCTGTAGGCTCGGACCCCTTACAGCCAGATTTCAGGGCAGTTAGTGGCACAAACCGCACATGGCCCTCGAAGCGCCGCAATATCAAGCCATGCCCCGCTTCCTACGTGCAGCCAGGGTTTTGGGTTTAGGCCCCCCCCCTTATGCTCTGTACGACAACTGCATAGTAAGCCTTAGCTAAATGCCCAAGCCCCGCAGCCCTAAACCCTCCAGAACTTAATCCCTAAACCCAAAGCTCTATATAGCACCAACCCCCAGAACGCCCTACACCCTAGCCTCTAAACCCGAAGCTCTATACTCCTTGCACCCTAAAACCTAAAGCTCTGTACTCGTAGCGCTAAACCCAAAGTTACGAAGAGCTCAGCGCTAAATCCCCTGCACCCGAAACCCGAAGCTGTTACACCCGAAACCCAAAGCCCAAGGTGAAGAAGAGTTGAGCACTTGCGACACTATGGCAAAGAAGAAGCTCTGGGCTCTGCGGCACATGGTCCAGGCACGGCCGGTGGACGCTTCCGGGTAGGCGTCTGAGGCCTCAAAGTTTCGGGTTCAGGTGTTTCAGGGTTTCGGGCTTTCAGCTTAGAGTTTCGGATTTTTGGGGGCTGATAGGGGGGGGTGGAGAATGTAGCGTGCGTGTTCATGACTGAGGTGGGGCTTAGGACGCGAGGGTGTGAAGTTCAAGTTCTTGAGTTCAGATATGGCATGTCTGGATTGTTGCGTGCATTTGGGATTGAGTGCTCGCGACATTTATGATCAGATAGTTTTCCTTGTCGAGCCGTTCTACAGGAACCCTTGTAGTAGCTGATATTGTTATAGAGCTCTTTCAAGGAGCCACGATCCGCAGGCTTCATGTGGAGCTCTGGCCTTCTCAGACTTAGTACGCGGACTTTGGTACATTGATTCTTGTGACGGGTGTCGACGACGAAGATGATCATGGATGGTTATGACGGTGGTGAGGCGGATAACAACGAGTATGATGAGTACGATGGTGATAGCTGTGGGCGTGGCGATGGCGGTGGCGGTGACGATGATCGCGACGATGATGATTATAATGGTGCTCATGGTGAGGATGATGTTCTTCACACCACTACGCAGATGGTTGTTCTCGTGAAAGCTGCTCCCAGAACCATCTAAGCCTGAACCATAGTTAGACATCCTGCAACCAAGTTTGCCTACTGGCGCATAAAACAGAACAAACGTTTACGTACGATATAAGCAAGGAACTCTCATGGAGTGCTTTGTGATTGAGAAATGAGGAAGGATACATGCATTCGACAACAATGGGATCGCAATATTCTTTGTGTTGCCACATGTGGGTTCGTGTTGCCGCACAGCGTGCTTCCTTGGTGGTCTTGGCTTCCCATCGGTTTAGGGTTTAGGGTTTACGCTGAAGCCCTAAATCCTTTACCTGTGTGGGAAGCCACTCGTGAGGCCCGCAGCCCGTTCATCGACACGGAGAGTGTCGGAAAGAGGGCTGGGTATGAGGAGGAGGACCGACAGGCTACTCAGCTACTCCCTAAACCCTAAACCTTACTGGGTTCAGGGTTTCGGGTTTTAGGGCTTATAGGCCTCCCTTGGGCCCTGAAATCCTTTCAAAGCAGTTGCTACAAAGAATCCTGAGTTTCCAAAAGGGGCCGCAACCCAGGCTTCCATTTGCACTTAAAGTTGTGGGTTTAGGGTTTAGGGTTTAGGGTGCTAGTTTCAACTCAGGCGGTTTAGGTTTCTCGGCTTTGAGGTATGCGTTGGGGTTTGGAGGGTCACCCTGTTGCGCAGGGGTCTTGACATGTTGCAACGTCTCTTCCAGTGTCACCCTCATGTTTCCTCCATGAGTTGGCAAGTACTATATAGAGGACCTAGGAGCCTCAACAAAAACCAATACTACTTCGTGGGTTCATTAGTGCCTTAGTATAGCTACAGTATAGTGGGCCCCAGAAACCTAGTCTAATTATTCACGCCCCTATATTATAGTAGCCCTTGTAGACCCCTTTACCTAAACCCCCAAAAGTAGGTAAAATAATGGCCCAATACCTATAAAAAAGGCCATTATTCTACATACTTTTGGGGTCCAGGTAGGGGATCCTAAACCCTAAACCCCTATACCTTAAACCCTAAACCTTAAACCCTAAACGGTAAAAGGAACCCTCTTCAAATTATTCGGGCCCATACATTGCGCACCGATGGCCAAGTTTCGAGGTCGGGCCGGCGAGCCTCCCTCCACGTTCTGTTATAGTATCCCTTCCCTGAACCCGAAGCTCCCTAAACCCTTAACCCTAGGCCACTAAACCCCAAACCCCAAAACCCTCGGCTCCTAAAGTGTAGCTAGATTTTATTGTGGTATCCTTAAGGGAGGGGGGTCCGAGGGGGTAAAAAAGCCTAGTGATCCCGAATTCTCCCTAGTACTCCCTAAGGTTCCCTTACAGTCCCCTAAGGATTCCTTATACCCTCCCCCCTTGAACCACCCTCCCTTAAGGATCCTATAATTCTGGCAGGGAGGGGAACCCAGAGACTCCAATATCCCTTAATTAAGGAATAGTCCTAAAATCATATTAAGGATCCTAACATAATTCAAGGTTTATTCCTTAATTAAGGAATATTCCTTAAACCATATATTACGGATCTTATTCTAATTCAAGGTATATTCCTTAATTAAGGAATATTCCTTAAACCATATATTACGGATCTTATTCTAATTCAAGGTTTATTCCTTAATTACGGGGTATTGGAGTCTCTAGGAACCTTGTGGCGTTGAGCATACCCAGAGGCTCCATAGTAGTTCCCTTTGGGGATGACCTTATAGGATTCTAAACATGGACCTTCAAAAGGAACTACTGTGGAGCCTTAGGGTAAGCATGCCTGCATCAGAGCTGGGCCTCTTATCTGAATGAAAACACTTTTCTCAGATCTGAACCTGTAAGCCTGTGCCTAGAGACTCCAATAGCGCTTAATTGAGGAATATACCTTAAATTGTATTAGGATCCTTAATATGATTTAAGGAATACTCCTCAATTAAGGGATATTGGAGTCTCTGGGTGAAGATTAAGCCGCATAGCCTACATCTCGACAACTGAAGCCCATTAAACTCGCATGGCTTCCCGGCGCTAAGTTCGAATTCCGTCTGCCACTGTAGCTCCCTGAAGTTTGTTTCCTTTCGGCATTGGGAACCCAAGGTGCCGGCCCTAAGCTGTGAATTTCACCGCCATCCGAAAACGCAACATCACAAAAATGTGCGGAGAACACCCCCCCAAAACCCCAAAACCCTAATTAAACCCCAAAACCCTAAACCCCAAAACCCCTAAACCTCAAACCCCAAAACCCTAAACCCCCAAAACCCTAAACCCAACACCCCAAAACCCCAAAACCCTAAAACCCGAAACCGTAAACCGTGAGAGTTCGCGGGTTTTCCGGGTTTTTAGAGAGAGGAGAGCCGAGACGCAAAGCGCCGGCGAGTGGGTGACAGGCGGGTCACTAGGGGAATCTAAGTAGGGTTTAGGGTTTAGGGTTTAGGGTTTAGGGTTTAGGGTTTAGGGTTTAGGGTTTAGGGTTTAGGGTTTAGGGTTTAGGGTTTAGGGTTTACGGAGGGGTGGAAAAGGGTTCTGAAAAGTTTTCAAAAAAGTGTTCTGGCTTTACAGTGGGGTTTTATTGGGCGTAGGATTCGGGGGGCATAGGGTTTATAGGGCTGTATGTTAACGGATTCAAGGTGTTGTTGTGGTTGTGAACATGCTTGACAGGCCGTTTTGCCAGTATTCAGGGGATTTGGTGTTGATGTGCATTCTGTGGGGCATCACGTACGTTAGGCAGCAATGCTCCTGTGCAGCGTCTGCGCCATGTGGACACCCAAGCTGTTCAAATGAAGTTGAAACGCTCGCCACTTCTCTATGCCTGCAACTCCCGCTTCCCTAAGAAGCGACATTGAACTTGTTGACCGCGATCCATTTGGGGTTGGGTGGCACATCCGTTCACATAAAGCGTATCGGCACCACTGCCGGGAATGGGGCAACTGCCCAGATGTCGTTTATCTGGGTGGTTAGGCTAGTGCAAACCCATTTCGGTCACGTGCCATGTCGTTAATGTACACGTGGTCAGCTTCAGAAAGTCTGAAGAAAGAGGCAGCTTTGGTTTCGAGATGTTCGAGGGGTTAAGGTAAGGCTTAGGGTCTGGATCTTGCAGTTCAAGTTCCTGCGGCATTTCGCGAGCTAGAAACCCTCAGACCTTCACGACTTGGACACGTACATAACATTTTACGCATGCAGCTGTACTCATAAATATACGTGTGTGTGTGCATATATATATATATATATACATATATACATACATACATACATATACAGCTACAGTGTACACATATACGTCGAAATATAATGGTATACAGAGTACATATACCGAGGGCTTGCTCCTCGATCTTCCGACCCCGTTTTTCGGTGTAGGCCCGTCGACGACCTGAGCGACATTCCATGATCGTCCCTTTGGTGTTCTTCAGTGCCTGGTGGCTCCTGGGAGTCCAAGCAGATATTTTCCCAAAGGGTCCTCTGTACTGTTATGGGGTATACTTCCCTAAGTCATAATAGCAATTCCTATAGTATGGAAGCCCTACATTCTACTATATCGGTACATAGGACCCTTTGGGATTGACAAAGTTGCAACCCTAGCAGTTTACTTCGTCGGGCCTCAACACCTGGGCAACAGGTGTATAGCAGCGTATAGCATACACACATCTAAATATATACTTCTTTGTTTATTTAGTCTTGTATTTGTATGTATGTTTGCCTTTACATTTTTTCATGTTTGCGTAGAGAGAGACGGAGGACAATGCCCAAGCAGACTTGCTTAACACAAAAATCTCCCCTCCCGGGCCGCCGGAAACGGTCATCTCAACTCTTCGTCCGGGGAACACATGCAAGGCCCGACGATCGCGCCTCCAAGACGAGTGCGCAGACTGGCGGTGATTTAACAGCAAATCAGGCTGCGACTGTTTTGTTTCACGCTAGCGAGATGCAGGCGCTACCCGTTTCGCCCCAAAGTGGGCAAACGCGAGATCATCTGCCCCGACTACAAGGCTTCTGATGGTTGTTTCGAGTTTGATTTGCTGCCGCCGTCGAAGAGGTGCCTCCACGCCTGCTTCTCCCGAAGACGAAGACTGCGAAGGGACCGCCAGCGCATCAGGCGAACAGGACAGCGCCTGTGCCTCTTCCGGCAAAGCTGTGCCCCGCAGGCGCTTCACATTGAGCGTGCGGACCGGGGCAGGGAGGATGTGCTTCTGCACATGGGTTTGCCGACCCATGTGCTCCAGCACATCAGTTCGAAACTTAAGGCGGGATCCGCGGTTCAGTACAGCTTAATAGAAAACAGCCTTCAAAGTCTACATGCCCATGAAACTTAGAAAGCCATTAACACCTTCCAGAAACCCCACTTAAATTCCTGTGCTGTTTGCTCCTGTGGGAGCGGGGGAGGGGGGGAGGGGGAGGGGGGGTTGGGACGTTGGTGCTTGGCGGTGAGGTTGCCCTCACTGTCATTGCAGTGCGTGTGTGCGTGCGTGCGTGCGTGCACGCGTGCTTGTGGGGGGCGGGCTTTTGCTGGTGAGGTTGCCCTTGACAAGTTTGTTGAGGCCATTGCAGCCGAGGCTTTTACTAATCTACTGCAACTTGTAAAGCCACTGCCACTCAGGGCTGTAGACGTTCAGACTCACCTTGTCGCCACTATGCTGTCTAGGAAGGAGAAGAGATACATGCTCACTGACCCCGCGTTTGACGACTGCGCTGAACGCTTCAGAGACAGAGTTTCCACATCGTGTTGCTGCGCCCCTATGGCCCGTCTTAGAATTAAGACGTCTTTGATGTGTAGGCGGACATGTTCGTCGCACCTCGAAGGCTGTAGCGCGGATCCCCGTTTTGTTACACAGTGCAAGCTCGCTTCAAATATCATCCAGCCAGCAAAAAAAAGAGTTCGGATGGACATGATGAATACGTACACATGTACATTGGGTTTGCAAATTGGGGCGCTGTGGTTCCCAAACCTCCCCGCCTTCTGTTTATTCCGTGCATGGCTTGCTGTCAAGAACATCGCGCCATCAAATAGAGTTCCGTCAGTCACATAACTTTCATTGGGCTTTTCAGGTTTTCCAGATCCATGATCAGGCATTCTGTCTGCAACTGCGGGGGCTGCGCTGTAAGCCGCGCAAAACCCGTGATGCATACGTGCATAGGCTTGCAGCGCCCCCCCCCTCGCGGCAGCAGCAACAAAAAGATACCAGCAAAAGATGCCACAACAAAAACAACACCCCCGCCCCCGGCAGCAACAGCAATGAAGAAAACACCCTCCCGCAGCAATAACCTCGCCAATAGTTTTGGATGACGGAAGCGAAGTTTTCAATGTTAACCTGGATCCGGGCACCCCTAGCAACGGAGTACGCCACGTGGTGCCTGAACGGAGATTTCGACACATCCCGCATCTCCATCACTTCTGATGGTGATAGCGATGTGCTCCGTGGGCTGGTCTGGCAGCCAGCACATCAAGGAACCAAAGTGCCCCTGGCTTCCGGCGCTGTGAAGCAGGGTGCCGCCAGCGACCTTTTCGCGGGCCTGGAGGAGCGCTCACTGGTTCTTGACTTGTCGTGGCATGGTCCATGCACCAAACGTGCTGGGAGGACCGGCTGCGCCGCAACGGTGGCGGGGTCCTTTCTGTCGACCCTTGTGGCGATGCCGAGACCTACTGGGAAGCCCGCGGTTTTGACCGGGCTTCCTGGGAGAAGCTGCAAAAAGGTAGCCTTTAAACTTGCTGTTGTTGCAAGTTCGCTAGACACAGAGTGCTTCGATTTTGCCAGATTTCTTTTGGCTTTATGGGTTTTCGCACAGGTCTCTGTCAGTGCAGGCGTTGAAACCCAGCTTGAGAATGCAGGCTGAGCATGTCGGAATTTGCTTCAAGCTGTTCCATCCTTCATCAGCTTAAAAACTTTAGACATCAGGCTCTATATACTGCAAACTACGTGCTCCAAGAAGTGGGACATTGAGCCCATTTAAACACGCACGATCAAAACGGAGTCGCAATTCAATAAACGCCAGATCGTTGTGCAGCCTGATAAAGCCTCAAGACCCCAGAAACACGCACTAAGTGCTGACACAAATCCTATGCTACATTGATACGAAAAGCGTCATTAGGACCTCCTGGGTTGGTTCCAATTGGCACCTTTGAGGTCACGGGTTGGGCACCGGACAACCTCAGCTTCAGGCATTAGGCTTTAATAGGTGCAGTATTAGATAGGGCTTGAAAAACTGAAGATGTTTTCGGATTGTGTAAGGTTCGTGACGGACTTGACAGAGCTTAGGGATTGCATTTCAGGTTGATAATGTTTAAGGCTTTCAAGCCTTCAGAGGGAGATCTGCAAGGAAAACTCGGGGAAGTTAGTCAGAGGTCGTAAGTCTGGTTATAAGTAGGGTAGGGCTTGGAGTTTAGGGAGAACCCTGGCCAGGTTACTTATCAACCCCAAAGATATCGGGCCTAGAAGACCCCCCCCCTTCAAGGGCGATTCTGTAATTGCTAAGAACCCTGCACCGAAACCCTTAGATTTGCAGCCATCCCTTCTGCCCAGGCTCTGTTCTTGCGAAGTGAGAGAGTGGCAGAGCTGCTTTTGACCCCGTCCTCAGTCGCAACGGTTTGAGTTTTGGGGGTTAGGGTTCCGGCTTTGAGTGGGCGTAAAGCACATCATGGCCTTAGGTTGTGCCCTTTTATCGCGCGGCTGAACACTACAGTCGACGACGAAGGGCACCTTTACTACTGAGGGGTCGCCGGGCTGCCTAGAACTAGGGGCCAGGTGTAAAGCCGACATATGGGAGTTTCCGAAAATAAGGGACCTTAATATAGTACTTCAAATAGTAGGATCCTTATTATAAGGACCCCAAAATCGGTTACTCCCCAACTTTCGGAAACTGCCATATAGTCCCGAGTGTCAAAGTTGTGTTGTTGCACTTTGTCAGTCTGGTTCGGTGTCATCGAAAAGCTAGTCTGGAGGTGCACGAGGCTTATTTCCAAGAGTCTTTTATTTCCGGCGAAGCGAAACGTACTGCGACTGGGGTGCCGGGGCAGTTTCCAGAAATGCTAGGTACAGTGTGCACCCCGGCTAATCCAGCTGCCGCGCGAGACTTTTGGGGTTACTGCGAAGCTGTTGTTGCCCTGAGCCAGCCCAAACCCTAAAAACAAGAAACGAAGGACCCCAAATGTGCCGAACCTCTGTTTGGTTGTTTAGGACCCTGTGGGGTAGAACCTGCTGAGAACTTAGGCTTTCGGATTGAAGAGGCATCTTGGGTTATAAAGTTTGCTCAGGGACCTTACCACTCCCGATGAATCTTTAAGCTGCCCTTTTGAGATGAAGTTTTCCACTAACCCCGACGGTTTGCGTGCGCGGCGAAAGTCAACAATCCATCCGAAAGCGCTGTAAAGACACTTCTGTTTCCGCAGAGCCATGGGTTAGGGTTTAGGGCTCCGAGGTTTCTCAGCGAGCCTCTTGCCTTGAGGCATACTGTATGCTTCGGGCTCAGAATCGTGGATCCTAGACCTCGTCTGGATATGTTGTCCGGGTGTTTGGGGATAAAGATGTAATCTTGTGCCTGAACCCTAAGCTCTAAACCTTTTAAACCTTTGAACCTTAAACCCTAGCTACAGGGCTGGACCAGCTTAGGCTTCGCATTCGTTTGAACCCGATGCGAGGCTGCGCGTAACCTGGAGTTTTCATCCGAAACACAGCAGCCCTACACCCTAAACCTAATCACCCTCAAACCTCCTTGCCCTAAACCCTGACCAAAATCACCCCAAACCTGGAACCTCAATCACCCCAACCCCTGAACCCCAATCAAACCGTTAAAGTCAATCTCCGAAGCCCCAGTCTCACTTCGGAACGGGTCGGTTAGGGTTCAGGGCGTACTGAGGGTTCCGAAGGGATTATGCTTGCAGTAGGGTTTAGGATTTAGGTTTAGGGGTTGAAGATTGGGATTTAGAGCCGAGGGTTCTATCGGGATAAGGGTTCAACAGGGCTGGTCTGTAGGCCACAGACCCGGGTTTCCATGTTGCAAAGGATCTGCAGTAAGAAGCGCTTGAACCCCAAAGCCTACGACAACCGGCAGATATTCCAATTCCAGTTCAGTTGCAATTTCATGAGACCCGGGCTGATTGTATAGCATCCCAAAATTTTCCCTGATTCGAGACTGAGATCGTCCCTAAGCATATTGTAACACACTTAGAAAACCACAGAACAAACCCTAAACCCACATTTTCAAATGAACCCTATAAAAGGAACCCTGTCGTATGAAATTATGTGTAAGGCCCCTTATCGTATGCCCTTCGGTTAGGGGTACTTATTTGTTATTCTAATCCCGAAGAAACAACGAAAATTTCAATTTTTGCTAGGGTTCTAAGTTCAGTATAGTAAACCGTAAACCCTAAACCCCAAACCCCTAAACCCTAAACCC